TTGCATTCTCATTTCGCTAATTGAACCAAGAAAATCTGAGCTCAGGTCAACAATTATACTACATCATCACTCAAATATCTGAATGAGCTAAAAAATCCCCCCACATTGATGTCCTTGGGGGTGGGTTCCATGTGGGGCCATTTAAAGTTGACCGTAATCAACTTTTTACCCAAATTACTCAAATATCTGAATGTCTCATGCTACACCATTTTCTTAGTAAATGCCTCAAAATTTTACAGCAAAAAACAAGCATTTTCTGCCAAAATGCAGGTTCGATTCCAGCTATCCGCCCAAAATGATTGAAGCCTGGAAATGAATATTAGTAATTTATTTACTTATAGGAGTTGTTAAGCATGCCTTCCCCCCAACCCAAGTCCTTTTCTTTCTCAATGAATGCTATCAGTTTCAAATATCTTATTCTACTCTTGTTGCATCTTCAAAAAACTACAGAACTTCATAACAAACAATTGGCAGCTAAATTGATAACTGAACTAAGGACTTCTTAAAATGTAGCTTCCTAAATCCAAAGGAAGATAAAAAAACCCAAAGGAACTGCATGAATATGGCCAGAGAGAAACCCACATAAAGGATGTAATCATTCCTGAGCTTTGAAACTCAAATTTCACAATTGGGCAGGCGAATTGTTTATTTTCTTTTCACAAGATTCAAGTGAGAATTGGAGGATAAAAGTGCATGGTACGTACCGAAAACCCTCTCGGAGATCTCAAGGAGGCGATCCGGCGGCTTACGATAAAAGAAGCGTCTGAACAGCGCCATTTAATGGCGCTGTTACCTTCCCGACCGGATCCCAAATGTTGATTCCCTATATCCCCAATTTCGCCTGTCCAAAAATGTTAACCATGTCATATGGAAACCGATCTTGCAATTCTCCAATTTTGGTTTTCAAATTACACCCAACAACCAATATGATGAATGTGATGACGGAAATTGTTCAATCCAAACTACTTCAATGATGTATTCAATGAAGACAACAAAAACAATAAGAGGGTTTTGATTATGAGGTGGGTGGGGTTATTATGATTACGTAATTCAGGTTGGGGAAGAATTTAATGTGTTTAGTGACAGCAAGATTGATAGGGTTTCTGGGCAATTATCATGGGTAAGAAAAATGGCGATCGAAGCAATCACCATACATACAACTATATATATATATATATGAAATTTGATGATTTGGGAAATGTTGGAGTGAGGGAGTGAGGAAGAAGAATTCAATTGATTCTGGGAATTGCTGCAATTTTTTTGATTTCTTATGCAAGTGGAATCAGAAGAAACTCAATGGAGATTATGGACGAAGAAAGGGAGACGGGAGCAGAGCTTTTTCCATTTCGTTTGTTTTGTTCTTAATAAATTATTTTATTTTCAAAATTAAATATAATTTTTTTAAATAAACTATCAATTCATAAATTAAAGTCAACTTTTTGTTTTTTTATTTATTATTTTAAGAATAAATAATCAAATAAAAACAACAGAGCACTTTAAATCAATTTTTTTATTTTTGATAACTGATTTTTTAATATAAAATAGCAATATATTTTGTTTTTTGTTTATTTTTAAACCAATTTTTTTGTCTATTTTTAAAACCAATTTTACTATTAAATTGTAATATAATGAATTTTGCTTCTATTTTTTAAAATACATTGTTATTAAATTAAATTACAATTTTTATTGATTGTCCATATGGTTTGAGTAAGGGATTGTTTACCTAAATACTTACCCGATAAGTGTTTACGGGTAGGAGTCAACACTATAATCTATTTTACCAGATAAGATTATAATATATTAAAACAGTAATGTATGCAACAATTTCCCCGTAAACACTTACCCGGATAAGAGTTCTCACAATCACTTATCAGATAAGACTCTCTATCCCTGTCATCGTTCTTACCGGGTAAGATTTTCAGCCCTTGTCATGTGCATCAGGTGAGGAAAATTACCCGATCCACACTTACCGGGTAAGTATTTAGTAAACAGCCCCTAAGTTCTATTAATTGTCATTATAGTTTTGCAATTACATCACCAGTTCTCGTAGTTTCAGTTTGCTAGTTATATAAGGGGTATTTTGGTCTTTTTCCCTTTTCTTTTATAAATCTTTATAATATACAAGTATTTAATGCAAAAGTACAAACATCTGGAATTAAAAAAACTAGATAACCTCCCACCCCACCCAAACTCGAGACCACCGCCCTTTATGCGTAAATAAGCAAGCAACGAGCTTTTTTGGCAAACTTCTTGAAAGAAAACCGCCCCAACCTTCCATCTTCATCTTCGGCCTTCCCAATACATTCTATCTCTATCTGTTCCTCCGTTATTCTTCTTCCCCAACAGACCACCAGGAGTCCAGAACCAACATTAATGGACCCCCTACTCGGGTTAGAAAACTTTGACTTAAAAGCTTCGTCAATAGGTTTCCCATTAACCACAAGGGTTGATGTCTGGTTGGTTTGAATTTGGCTCCAAAGGTCAAAAGTACCAGGAAGTCTTAGGTTCAAATCCAAGAAAAAATAAAAATTCTCTTATAGCCACGGAGGTTCAAATGCGATGACTTTGTGCTATCTGCAAAGCTTTACACATTTTTTTTTATTTAAAAAATATCGTAAAATAACCAAAATACCTTCCACATGTGACACTTAAAACTAATATAATCGATCGTGTTGGCCTATCAACATTTTTTTTGAATTTTAAAATAAATAATATATTACATTTAATAATATTAGAATAAATATCAAAGGACGAGGAATCCACTTCCTCAAACAATTAAATAATATATTAATTTTTCTTTATTTTTGTAACTTATTATAATATTTTGAGAATATAAAAATCTTGATAATTTTAATTGTATAATAAAAAACCAGAAAGAGTATAATGTTTATTAAAAAAGAGAAAATGATCAGATATTCTTAGTATATGATCGTTTTTTATTATGACCCTGATGAAAAAATTGGCATCGTCATCGACATCTTCTAAGTTTTAACGTAAATATAAAACCAACATTAAATCATTGATCATATAAATCGAGGTTTTATATAAAAATATAATTGCCTTTTAACCATATAAAAAGAATATGGGGCCCATTTTAGTATCCAAAAAACACACATTATTTGGCATGATGGATTTTGTCATCATATGATATGTACCAAAGTGTACAAGCCCCGTTCATCCATTTGAACTTTTTGTTTGGATGTATAATTCCAAAATTCTGAAATTCCTTTATTGCATTTAAGTGAGTAAAACAAAATTTATTTAGTTGTTTAACATTGAACTGGTATTCTAGACTCTGAATCTGACAAATGACCTGAGCTTGTCTTATCAGGTTCTTCCTCATTGGTTGTTGAATTCTTTTTGGTAGAATGATTACCAAATGAATTGGAATCCGGAAGGAATTGAAATGAAATGTTATCAGGTTTAACCAAGTGTTTGGTTGACATGAATAGAATTTAATTTGTCTAATGAATTGGAATCTATCTATTTGGTTTGAAACAGAATTGAAATGGAATGATAAAAGGACAAAAATACCCTTTCTTCAATATTTTTTTTAAAAAAAACTTATTTTTTTAAAATACAATCTAATAAGTCTACGTCTACGTATTGTTGCTAAACTAAGTCGGGTCATTTCATGTTCCAATAAACAAAAGTTATCAACAAAAGTCATCCCGACAAGAACAAATCATATACAAGTCTTTTGCATTGTATAAATATATATATATATATACACACACACACATACAAACCCCTTTTATACATTCGGTCATTGAAAGCAAACTCTTGACTGTGCACATTTGGTTTGTTTATGAACAATATATGTTTATCGGCAGAAATATGTTCGAAGTAGCATAAATATATATTGTCATCCCCAGTTCCTAAAGTAGCATAAATCTGTTTGAAGGAAATAGTAGCAGAAATCGGTTCGAAACAAACATAGATCATAAAGAAGCTAGCAGTTCATATCTTGAGATGAAAGCAAAAACAAGTTTGAAAATAAAACAATACCTGTTTGATCGATAGAAAACGGTGTTGATGAAAGCAACGTTCAATGGATATAAAGCAACGTTCGATCGAAATCAGCGTTCGATGGAAGATGATTGTTCGTTCAATGGAAGATGAAAACAGAAGTGAGCAAAAGTGAAAGCATCGACTAGGGTTTAGTAGTAGCAGAAGGGTATTTATGTCATTTGAACACTTTTGGATGTGATGGATTTCAATTCCATCAGATTTACTAAGGAATGTGTAATTTCTCAAATTTGGGAATCCTTGGAATTCAATTCCATTCCATGGATAACTAAACATTGGAATGGAATTTGGTCAATTGAATATTTGACGATTTCCAATCAACAACGGGCAGATCTATAGGACATACACGAACACATACCTCACAAGCAATGCATTTATCAAATTCAAAGCCAATTCTATCAGATTCCGGCGGATTCCGATGAACCAAACGTCCCCTTAAACTTGTCATCTGACTTAGATCAACTGAATGATCAATCAGCAGTCTGAGTTGACTGACTATAAATATTTGTCATTTATCAGTTCTAACTTTTTCCCCAACAAAACCCACGAAACAAGAACCGACTTGGTCCACGTCAATATCAAGTCATGACCACATTAACTAATAATGACGAATAAAGAGTTATATGAATTATCTTGTGAGACAAGTTACGAGTATATGAACATCCTATTGTTGCATCATATTCATGTGAGAAATTTATAATAACCAATTTCATATATTTATCTTGTTTTTAAAAATCTTATTATATGCTCTTAAAATCCATTAATATTAATATATTTCATAAAACTAAGTTACAACGAACTGATAAAACACATTTAAATACAGAATAAGCATCGATTCCTACCACTACAATAGAAGACTCCATAAAACTGATATCCAACAAAAACTCTCTCGCTTTCTCAAAACCAGATAAGCTAACAACCAATTTATCTGCTAACATATTTATCAGTTAGTTTGATTGAAATGAAAATGGGTTGTTGAATATTACTCAAAACCATAAAAATTCATGCAAATTTTTCAGTAGCTGTACATTCATATTCAATCACCTCTATATATGACAAAGAAATTGAAATTCAAAAAAATTACTCTTTAACTAATCAATGGAGGTCCAAAGTGAGGAAGATGATCGATGATCGAAGAACCCTACGACCATCATCTCCGTTTGATCATGAACTCTCAGCAATTGGTTGTCTTAAACTCTCGAAATTGTTCTTCAGGATCTTCATTGATCTTCAAGAATCGAGAATCGAGTTATTCGATTCAAGAAGATTTTATGTTCATCAGCCATTCTTCCTACCTAACAAGAACAAACAAATAAACTCATACACCCTCCTCATATTTGATGAGGTTTGAACCCCTGACCTCCTAGTCCTAGGAGACCAAAGACTCACATACCGCTAGGGCAAAGGCCCTTTAGTTATGTTTATGATATTTGTTGTTACTGAATTACACAATCCTCAAAATAACATAGATAATGTCACGTTCGGCACCCATGAGCTAGTTTATTTTTTAAACTTATTAAATAATCCTCGTTTGGTTGGCCATAAGCCAACTTTTTAAAAGAACTACTCCAAATAGCTTTTCAATAAGGTTCTCGGGTTTTTTTCTCCCAATTATACGCCTAAAATTGAAAAAGCCCCGTTCAGTCGGCCATAAGCTAACTTTTTGAAAAACTACTCCGGGCGGTGTTTTCAATAAGATTCCAGGGTTTTTTTTTTCCATTTTCTTCCAATTATACCCTTTTTATTTTTCCAATTCATTTTACAACATGTATTTTTAGGCCATTTTACATTATCATCTAACTTATCAATTAGTTTTTACCAAACTTTACTAGTTTATTAGCCAACTTTATCAGCTAGTTTGTCAAGCATAGTGACAATAGAGTTTCTACCTCTTTGGAGCCACGATCTTCGAACCGCTTGGCGAACTTGGCGTTCATGTCTCTCTAAAAGTTCATCGATTTGGTGTGATTGAGTTAACAAAGGACCCGAAAACTCAACCTTATCTTCTTGATTTTGATAAATCTGCATCAACAATTTCAAAACTTCAAAACTTTTGTGCCAAAAACGCAGAAACGAACGAAACCCTTCATGGGATTTGCGTGAAAGACAAAAACGAACTTACAAGATCGATTTTCTTAAAAAGTGCGATAGACGGATATTGAGAGGGGTAACCATCAGATGGACCATCGAGCTCTAAATGGCTCCAGTTCTTAACTTTGGAATCACGGCCTCTGGAACCAGTTCGTTCAATCTTTTCGCTATGTTTTGGCTCTCTTGGATGTAATGTAACCGAAGACTCGGATACAAGACTTTTTGAACTCGACCTGCTGCGTGATCTTGTAGTTGAAGAATCATTGAATCGCCTTCTTGCCCATGCAAAACCACTTGATCCTGAAACTTGTAACGGACCCGAAAACGGAATGTCTCCTTGAGACGCTCTGTCTGTTGTGTTTACAAACGGCTTTCGCGGCTCAAAACCTAAGATTATATCATTGTCTTTTTTATGATCTAAACTAGTTTCAACGATTTTGTGCCTGCCTTCGGTTCTGGCCGGCAAATTCTGTTCAAATAGCCATTCCTCGATAAGAATATAAGCATATATGTATGCATGTGTATGTGTGTGCACTAAATCAGCTTTGTAGGACGTCAAATATGTCTAAATGTCCTAATAGACTGCTTTATGCGACTTAAATTTATAAGACCAAACAATTGTGCATCTTATGTAAAGGTGTTACAACAAGTTAATAGAATCCTTCTGGCCCTCCTAACAAGTTCTATATGACTTATAGTAACGCACAGTTGTTTGTTTCTATAAACATAAGTCCAATAATGCAGTCTATCAAGACATTCAGATATTTTGCATCCTATAAAGCGGATTTTGTTAAGGTGATATGTGTGTCCATATATATATATATATACACACACACACATGTATATAGAGTGAGACCTCCTCAGGCGCCAATTTAGACACGCCATTCGGGTTTCTAGGTAATCTTCGTGACATTTCAGGCACTCGGTTTCTTCCAGCAGGCCTCTTCCTGAAAAAGGCATGCGTTGTTATCAAAGTTTTCGGAAATAAATCTACTTTTCAACCTTCTATGGAGGTCACACGAGCATTAACTAACAAAAACCAAGATATAAACTGATGAATGGTTCATGTGACATGATCAAATATGTGAGACCCCATTAGATTACTCTCCAAGAGCGCTCTTGAGGAGAGAAGGAAGGTTACAACATATATGTAGATTTCGATGTCTTAGATATCCCAGATCAATACAGGGTCCGTTTTGCCACTTATATGTTCAAGAAAGAAGCCAACAACTGATAGAGACCGGACTTGAAATCGAACGTGCAACTTTTGGAGCTTCCTGACTCGTCTTAAGATGTAAATGTTCTAAGTTTATATTTACTCTTTGAAATGTAATATTTTGGGTTGTAAAACATGCTTTGGAAGTTGTAACCTATGTCTGGCGTTTTTAGTAGCTCTGACTTAGTTGTGTATTTATGTTAAGTCCCGTTAATGACATTGCCCCGTTCCGAACCACGTGGATGGGGATGTTACAATTGTGGTGTCAATGGTCCAAGTCTAGCTGGCATGGGACTCCAACACTCCCCCTCCAACAGAGACTAGACTAACACAGATTTCCCCAGAGTGTCGAGTCGCTAGAGTGGTAAACATGACTCTGATATCATGTCAAAATATATGAAACCCCATTAGAATATCCTCCAAAAGAGTCCTCTGAGACAGAATGGAGGTTCCAACACATATAGAAGAAAAATGGTCCAAGTCTAGCGCATATGGAACTCCAACAATCCAGGGAAAAGAGATTTACCTTTTTGAGTCTTCGCGATGCTTTGCATCGATCTCTTTATTTGGAGGGTATTTTGGCAAGCTCGATGGCTCACAGGCATACGGCCATGTTGTGAAGTACTGTAATACCATACATATGATCAAAATCGTTAGGTTTTCATACGACAATTCGAAAACTCGACAAAAGGGATGAAAGTTACCTCGGATGCAAGAGCAGAGGAAGCAGTCCCACGCTTATATGGTTCAATGGACAACAAAGTTTCGATAAGATCTACAGTGTTCTTCGGTAGATCGTTAAAGGTTTCCGGTAGATGGCTTTCATAGGGAAGTTGCGGTTTAAACAATGTGGCATGCGGAAGTTTCGACCTTTTCCAGTAATCATCACACGGCGATCCACAAAGCTTAAAGATTTTGTGCATTTGTTCCACCTGAATTTGGAGTACAAAGGAGAAAAACTTAATAACATTCTACTATACAACATCTTCCCCTTCCCATTTCTGAAAATGGGCTCCAAAAAGGGTTAAATGACCTTCTCAGGGTTTTTCTAGAAGAATCCATGATCTTGTGGCAGGTTTCAGAATGTGATTGCTTAACAAAAGAATGTCACTTTCCATATACAAGAATGCCTAGAAACCTGTCAGAAGGCCATGGACTTAAAAGGCAATTGTCAGGAGGTCATTTAACTAAATAACCTCTCCGGGAAAATAGTCTAAATTTGAATTTTGGAAGTCAATGTAGTACTTTTTGAACTTGAAATTGATACAAAATCCGCAACTTTTGAAGCACAATGTCTTTTCTGTAGTGTTGGTTCGTAGAATTCTAACATGGGTATCGATTCTTTCTTTTCAAAAATCAAAAAACGCTTATGAATTACGAAATCACGAAACCATCTGTTTGACTTTTAAAAGTCAAACACAGTACTCTTCTAACTCAAAGTCAATAAGAACTTCTTAAACCCTTTTGAGACCCTATATCTGTAGTTATGTACCGTAAGTCCACAACACTAGTTCTAGAGACAAACTAATCCATTGACTATTCCCTTTCGAAAGTCAAAGATCGCTCGTAAATTTGCAAGCCGAAAAGCGAACTATTTGACTTCCGAAAGTCAAACTCTGTTTACCTCAGTTCGACCCTGAAGAACCGGCACACCACGAAGAAGCTCCGCAAATACACACCCGATACTCCATAGATCAACCGAAGCATCATAATCTGTAGATCCCAATAAAAGTTCAGGAGGACGGTACCATAACGTAACAACTTTACTAGTCAACGGCCGCCTATCCCGAGCCACATTACAGAAATTCGCCAACCCAAAATCGCCAATTTTCATAACACCTTCGTTATTTACCAAAAGATTCGCCCCTTTGATATCCCGATGCATTACTCCCCGTGAATGACAATGAGCAAGCCCCGATAACAACTGCTTCATGTAGCATTTAATCTGTTTCATACAAATCCAGGGATGATCTTTAAACAATCTCAAACTACCCGTTAAATCCTAAAATAGAAAACGGAAAATGCATCAAAATGCAACAAAGTCTGGTTTAGTTCCTATTCAGTGTAATGAATAATTTCTTTTCTCAATCGATATAACAAAGTTTTAAAAATTTCTATCTTGTACACATTTTGTCCGTTAACCTGCTAATCTTGGTAAAAATCTGATGAGGTGGATAGCCGTTTACGAAATGGGTACTGCAAAATTGACAATAAATCTGGAACCCACGTCATCAAATGTTACAAGATCAGCAGGTCACGGCTTTGCAGATAGCCTGGAGTCACCGCATTTGAACCTCCGTGACCACAAGGGGATTTTTATTCCTCCTTGGATTTGAACCTGGGACCTCCAGGTACTTTTGACCTTTGGAGCCAAGCTCAAACCAATTAGGCACCACCCTTGTGGTTGAAAAAAAAAAGTTTTTGTTACACTAAATAGTAACTGAGGCAAGCTTCTCTGAATTTTGATGCATTTTGCCCTAATAAAAATGAAAACTTTACGAGTTACAAACCTGGGATTCGGTGAATTTGATGTCGGGGGATGATAAGAGTCCGGAAATATCATGTTCCATGTACTCGAAAACAAGGTATATGCTACATGATAACTGCGAGGTAATTATCCCATCTAGTTTCATAATGTTCGGATGGCTAAGCCTACGGAGAATCACTATTTCACGAGCCATAAACCGAACACTTTCAGGTTCAAAATTGTCAAACCGCACCTTTTTTAGTGCAACTATCTTCCCGGCTTCTAGGTCACGAGCACGAAAAACGCTGCTGTATGTACCTTGCCCGACCTATATATGCAAATTCAATATCTTAGCCCTTAGCCAACGGACACCAACAAACGTTCTATGCAACTTCGTTTAGAAAGGGGAAAGTTCATTTAGCACATTACAACAAAATTGGCTTTATAGGACGTCAAATATGTCTAAATGTCCTAATAGACTGTTTTACAGGATTTCAGTTAATAAAAACATACAACTATAATTCATATGTAAAAATGTTGTAATAAGTTGATGGGACATTTTTAGGACGGTTTTGGAATAAGGTGTCCTATTAATTTTTTAAAGAAGTGTTATATTAACACATCCTTTTATAAGACGGTTTCGGTGAGAACTAACTATTCGTGAATTACCTATAAAAAAAATACCTAAATATTCATGAATTATTCATAATGAATATAACAAGTTATTCATAATGAATACACCTAGTTATTCATGAATCATTCATAATGAATCACATCAATATCATCATAATAATTGAAACGCATATCCTTGTAAACCCTAAATCACAATATGATCATATTAATTGAAATAAAGATGAAATATGAACATCAATGGTGATGGAAACACACAGTGAATGTGTTTGTGTGTTTAAAATGGTGAAGAAAGTGATTAACCTTTTCTAATTTCTCAAAGGATTCAGCTCTGAGAGGCACCCAGCCATGGATGGCTTCACCGGCAACTGCACTCAGCCACGCCGGCCAACCGGCAGCCACTTGCTCTACTTCAACATACCTATGCATATTACCCAACCTAAAACTCACCGACTCGCCGGCACCACCACCGCCGCCGATGGTCCAATTCGTCCGCCCTGACTCACCCAACTCGCTCCCACTCACCCCTGACTCACTCCTTGCATTCTTCTTCTTCTTCATACTCTTCTTGTTGTTCTCCAACTGCGCCACCACATCACCACCACCACCACCACCACCATTCCCATCTATACTCCGGCAAGAACCCGCCGCCGCATTGTCGCGAAAAGCCCCGGAATGATCCACCGCCGGCGTCACTGAGACTGTTTGTTTCGATGTCACACAACCCATTTCTAAACAGTGCTTCAAGAAACTGAATCCATGAAAAGAGGATTCGAGTTTTTTACTTTATTTCAATCAAATCTAGATCAAACCCGGATCAAGAATCACGACAATCTTAATCGAGTGGCGTCTGATTCTTCAATCTGGTTTGAAAAGATCACCGGAAATTCTTCTTGAAGTCACTTTTCTCTTTCTGTTTCTAGAAATCTACGCTACAATCGTGGAAGATGAGCAAAGAGAGTGGATCAAACGAACACAGAAATTTAGTAGCACTGCTTTCCAGTAAAGGTGAATTTATTGGACTTTGGACATAATTTTGTATATGTTCTTGACATAATTATCATTCGTCCAAAACATAATAAAATTACGAGTAATTTACCATTTTAGTCCATCTGGTTTGTTAATAGTTTTTTTTGTTTACGTAGTTTAGAAATTATAATTTTCGTTTTTATATTTTGTAATTTTTTGTTATTTTCATCGTTAAATTAATTCTTAATTTTAAATATAAGGAATCAAAATAGTAAAAGATTATAAATTAATGAGACTGAAATAACAATAAAGATGAAAATAGCAATAAATTACAAACCATAAAGATGAAACGCACAATTTCTAAACTACAGGGATGAAAATCATAATTTTTATCAAATAATAGGGGTGAAAATGTAATTTACTCTAAAATTATTTCTACTTTATTTTCTAATAAGTTTCTATATTACCTATTTCAGTTTTTCTTAAAATAAATGTTTATTTTAAAAAACTAGAATGTACTTGCGCAACGAAGTAAGATAAATCTCGATTTTTTATGTCTACCTCGATGTTATAATATGATTTTATGTGATATCGAAAAAACGATAATGTTTTTATTTTTTTGTTATAATTTAATTTAGATTTAATAATGAAGTCATTTATTTTTAGTTTAATAATATAATTCTTTTATAAAGATAATATTTATTATTTTGAATTCAATCATTATCTTAAATATATTTTATTTTTTTTTAAAATTTAAATTAAAATACTTATCCATAACTTGATTATGTTTATCTATAGTTAGTTACACAAATTCAAAACTAGAGCTTTAATAAGTTGTACATACGGACAATTTACCTGTAACCTTCAATTTTAATTAATATGTATCAATAAACAGTACTTAATGCATAAAAAATAATTTTTAAATTTTTTTGTCAAATGCTTTATTATATAGTATAGATAAAGCTTACTTTCTTATACAACCCTTAATTGTGAAAATGAAAAAAAAAATCTATATCTATAATTAGGGGTAAAATTGTATTTTTATTAATTAAAAAGTGTAATAACTATATATTCTAAAAACTATGTGTTTTTTAATTGTTTTTCCATGAAGTCATGTATGAATAAAGTTGTTTATGTTAATTAAACTGTGTGTATAAAATGAAAAAAATTTGTTTAGGAGAGCTTTTTATAGATAGAAGTAGCTTGTCGGTTAAAAAGCTTTCCTTTCTTTACAAATCTTTCCCCATAAGTTTTCTAAATAAATCACTTTTTATATCATCAAAAAACCATCAAATAGTCATGTATAGCTAACTAAATAAGATTTGAGTTTCATTAAGCCCGTTAAGCTACTATAAGCAGGCCCTAAATTGTCTACATGATTAATATTAAATATTTGTTTGTTTGTTGAGTTGATACAAAATAATTTGAAAATATATTGTTGTAATAAGAAAAACTGGAAGTACAATGTTATAATAAAGAAATTTATGAAAGTAGATTGCTAATTTGTGCATTTTGCCTTTGTCTTAATAATATAAATTACCTTTATTTTATCATTTTTTTTGTTATTTCATTAGATTAATGCATTTATACGTAATCAAAAATTATATTATAACTTAAAATTTTTACCATTTACATTATCATCATCTATAAGATCAAATGATGACGGGTTTTCAGAGTTAGATCATCATCGCGAAATCACGAACCCTTTGTCACCGAAACCTGTGTTTGAGATAGTTGTTCATATACTGATACTGATCAAAATAAATATGAAATAAAAAATAAAATAAAGTTGGATTATATTTTGGTGTAATTTTTTAATAATATAATCTAAAATAAATGCTTACCAAATCCATTGTGGTTGGAATTGACCTACATCTTTAGAGTCATCAAATTCAACTAATCAACTATTACTTTTCTAATTAATTACAATAAATAAATAATTTAATAAAACTTTACAAATGGAGTCAGAATTTATAACTATCATCATTTATCTTTACTGACTAATTCATATTTGTTTTTTTTTTCTTTATTAGATATTTAGGTGGTGTTTGTCCTATTGGAATCTGATGTGAATTTTATTGACCAAATTTTATTTATGTGTTTGATTTTTTGAGGAGGTCGTTGGTTCGTAGATTCTAGAAGAATCTGATAAAGTTGAAATTTTGAATTCCATTGATCAAATTTCATTTGCTCGTTTGGTTCATTATTTTTCATGAAAAGAATCTTTAAAATCTTATATGACCCAATATACCCTAATCTCATAAAACCCAATATGACCATTGTCGACCACCATCGATCTGAATCATCATCGACCACCGTCAACTGAACCACCACCAACCATCTCCATCTGAACCATCGTTGACTACCACCGACCACCACTGAATAGAACCACTGTCGGTCACCGCCATTTGAACCACCGATCTGAACCACTGTCGACCATCGTCATCTGAACCACCACGGATCACCATCAATCCGAACCACTGCCAACTACTACCGATCTGAATCACCGTCGACTACTGCCGATCTGAACCACTGTCAACCATCACTGATCTGATCTATCGTCGATCTGGAACCAAATCCGACTACAGCCACCTAAAGCACCATGGACCACCATCGATCTGAACCACTGCCGACAACCGACAATTTGAATAACCACTGATCTGAACCATCTCCGCCACCGCTGATTTGAACCATCGTGAACCACCATCAATCTGAACCATCGTCAACCACCGTTGATTTAGTAACATTGTTTCAAAAAGGGGCATTTTGGTCATTTACCAATATTTCATTCCAATTCCAAAGCTACATCCTATGAACCAAACATACAGATTTCAATTCCTTAACAGATTCCATTTCAATGTCTGTCAACTAAATATGTGGTCAAACCTGACAACATTCTATTTAAATTCCTTCAAAATCAAATTCATTTAAGAGATTTCATTCCATTAAAAAATATTCTACGAACCAAACGCCACTTGAGTTTTGTTAAGGAATCAAAATTCCACATATGGTGGAATGTAAATTCTTTGGGTTCCAACAAGAATTCCATTTCCTTCATCCATCTTTTAAGGAAAAGTATTATACTCTTATATTACTTCATTACACGATGGATGTCTCTCACCACTGTCACAATAACCACCATCGTCACCACAGTCATCGACACCGCTATCGCCTCCACCCCACCACCACTCATATATTCAACGAACCAAACACAGAGATTCAAATTCTTTTGATTTCATTCCAAAACATGTCAACCAAATGCATGGTCAAACCTGGTTAAATTTCACTCCAATTCTTTTGACATATTCCAATTCCAACATATTTCGTTCTGTGGACCAAATGTCACCTTATATATAATTATGGAAAGTTAAACTAAGTAACCAACTAAAAATATACAACCCTACTCAAATGTTAACAGATTTAACAACAAAAACAAGAATGTCAAAACCTTAAAAATAACTAAAACTTTAAATATTTAAAAAGACCAAAACTCTGGTGAAAAAATTACGTACAAAATTACATCATACAAAGTGCGTGTTATTGAACAACTGTCTTATTGTTAAAAGTTAGATGTTAGTATAATTCTAACTCTTATTAAAAGATGGGAAGAAGTAAATTGAAAACTTGTATTCAAAGATTTTGACATGTGTAATTAGGTGTACAAAAAGACGGAAACAGTATCTTCTGGATCCTCATACTGATTGAGAGTTTTTAATGAAATGTATCTGAATTTTGTAGAACTAGAGTAATTGGGCTTGTGGCATGAAGAGTAGGTCTGATGTAATTCAGCAGTCCAATTTTCACCTGTAATAACCATTATCATTTTTGTAAGTTGATCTTAAGCTTGTCCCAAATGAGACAACTGTTTCAAACATGTCTCTCGGCCATTACAGTTTAGAGTTTAACAGTATCAAGATTCTTACTTCACGTCTAAAGAAAACAAAGACCAAATATCCAAATAGTGTGGGTGTTTTCGAGAATGTAAAGTGGTACTTTAATGAGCAACACAGTTCCTAAATAAACAGATATTGCAGGCGTTTTCGTGAATGCCCATAACATTAATGATGGATTACTTAACTATTTTTGTAAGAAAATTGCAATAATAACAGAATTATTGTATATTTTTCTTGAATTGAACATTTTTGGGTCATTCTGATAAAACCTAGAACATGCCGGTACAGTTTATTGATTTTATAGCGTTTTCTGAAAGTTGGATAACCCTGATAATGAAATTTAATTTAAACATCCAAATTATAAATAAAGTAAAAATTACTCTGTTATTTAGTACGATTTACCCTTTTTGTAGCTATTCTTATCCAAAATGGCAGAAAAATAAACTGAAAAATTAAATAGAATGACACAACTGTTAAAATAACATGTAGTTAATAAACTTGTTCTGTAGCAAAAACTCTTATGTTCACTGATAACATATACAATGCTTATGATAAATAATTAAACCATAAAAAACCCGACAAAAAATATATATTAATATACATATTCACCAATGTGTCTACGTTCATAGTTACGAACAGGGTTATCATTTTCTACTTGTCGTCATACTGTTCTTTTTATAAATATCGAATATGTAACCATGATTTGATATACATTTCAGACGAGACTCGATAACCGACACTGGCGACGCATATCGTATGAACCCGATAAATGCAATTAATATTTTATTTGCCAATAAGATAAGTATGGAAAAGTAAAAGGGGCAAAGTGAGAAAACATCAAAGATGTAAAGGAAAAGGACAACAAGGGGATGGTATGCTAACTTTTCACTATTCCCATTTTGCCCATGCCAAACAAATTTCTTTTACATTTTGACCCCACAAAACTATTGCAAAAATTAGATAAAGCATTAGACATATCATAAAAAGCTTCACAAGATGATTTATGTATATATTGGTGAGTGTCCACACCTTGATAGATAAGAACATAAAAGCATTTGATTTATTATTTCTTGATAATATTTATATTATGTTAATAAAAATAATTAAGAGAGAAATTTAATGTTTAATGATAAACATTTGATTTTCGTATTATAAATTATACAGTTATTTTATGCAGAATTTAACTATTCCCCATTAATATATAAGGATGGTGATTTTCCCTGACCTGGTGGGGAACCCGACGAACCCGACTCACCCGACCCGAACGAGGATGGGGATTCCCTGCTAAAACGGGTCTCGGGGATCCTTGGTAGACTCAAACCGGGGTTGGGGCCGGGTATTGATACCCCTCCGCCCCACCTGTACCCGGTGTATTAATATTCATTTAACAAGTATTAAGGCTTTGGAAATTCTGATAGTGGGCCTCTGTTGCTGTTGGACTTCAAAAGGATTTGTATTAGGAAACATGGGGGAACGGGTCTTGGTGTGTTTGTATGTACACATGGAAGGTATTTAACATATATGGGGACCGAGGTTTGACTAGGTTTTGACCGAGGACAGGATATTAATCCCCATACCTGCCAGAGACCGAGGCTGGGGGGTTGTTGGGGATTACAAAACCTGCCCATCCCTGCTTCATTGTCATGCCTATTAATATAACTATATTCATAATAGGCTAGCTTGTTAATTGATTGCATCTCCAATGAAACATTACAATATTACCCTTCAAGAATGGAATTGGTTGAAAGTAGAATTTGAACCCATGTCTCTTCCAAGGAAATACATAACGAAACATTACGATAATACCCTTCAAGAATGTAAAAAGTTCTACTGTAATAGGACCATGAAGCGATGGTATGGAAATATGTATACCGTCATGTAGGTCCGCCCCTGAATAATTGGGTATGCAAAGTGACTTTGAGACTGGGTTAATAGATAAAACAGAAACAAAATAAAGTCATTTGTTAAAATGACTTTGGCATCATCAGAAGGATCGAAACAACACTTGTTACAGACAATTTTTTACATGCATATTTGGAAAAAAAAATTTGTTCTGTAAATATAATGTCATGCCTAAAATCATTTTCGTAATAGTAATATACAACTAAGGGGCTGTTTATTAAACACTTACTTGGTAAATGTTTATCGCATAAATTTTCTCATCGGATGAACATAAGAAGGGTCAAGAATCTTACTGGGTAAAAGCGATGAGAATGATGGAGAGTCTTACCCGGTAAGTAAGGATGGCGACTCTTACCTAGGTAAGCGTTTACCCAGTAAATTGTTGCATTCGATATATTTTGATGTACTAAAATCTTATGCATAAAAAATAATTATAGTGTTAACTCCTATTAGTAAGCACGTACCGGGTAAGCATTTGGGTAAACAACCCCTAAGTCAAAGAACATTGCATTTATATCGTAAATCAAAACAAATTTACATTTTCTTAAATACCCATGTATGTTTTTACCAAATCAAAACAAATTTACATGGGCATGAACCCTTCATCATTGATGCCCCCATGACTTATCATTCATGCCACAATCACTCAATAAGCTATCAAGATTTTTGGAACCTATCAAATGGTATTTGGCTTAACGGTATTATAGTCTTTGACCTTCTAAGAAATTAGGGGTTTAAACCTCACCAAAAATAAGGAAGATGTGTGAGTTTATTCTGATTAACCAAAAAACAATCATACCTTAAATCAATTTACTTTTATGAGATACATATAAATATACATACATGGTTCATAGTAACTTGCTTAAATGACTGAAACTAAAAGTAGAACACTAAAACCCGAGTTAAAATCTAACGACTATCCATCATCCGATGAAACAAAAGACTAGAACTCGATTCGGTTGACATCTTTAGTGACGATTGTTAAAAGCTATTTGGAATTGGTAGAGAAGTGGTTGGACAATCATAATCACAAAGTAATGCTCTTCACATCTTAAAACCACCCTCATATCTCTCAACTTTCATCTCAGTTTGTTCGGTTTCCTATTAAGTTCTGTGTAGATAAAGTTGTTTGTGTGGATTAATTTGTCTGTATAAGTTGGGAAAGTTTTTGTTTGAGAATATTTTTTAATTAAACGGAAGGAAAGTGTTCTTTTAATTGAGAGAGGCAGGTTTGGAAAAAAACGTGATTTTCTACATAAAGCTCCTCCCTATGAACGTACTGAATAAACCACTTTCAATATCATTAAGCCACTACCAAACAGATACAAAGTTGTAAAACATAACGACAAAACGAACACGTTAATGGTCTAGAACCGCACTCAATGTTTTTTTTTTTTTTTTGCGGTATCTTCATTATGGCAAGATAACGAATTATGAACATCCTGTGTTTGGTTTTTCCCATCTTTATTCTCAAATAAAGATGAAACCCACAAAATAGAAATATAAATAAACGAAAGAAAATGACACCGAACGCCATCGGTTCATGGCAACTTACAAGCAGCTGTATTGTCTTTCGGCTTGTTTTTTCCAACCAATTCCGCGATGCTTCTGCAACGACATTGATTCCCTGGCCGAATTACGTCACCATATACAGCCATTTCCATAATGTCGAGCTCCTTATCTGCAAAGCAAATCACGTCATTATAAATTTCATTTCACATACATCGACATCAGAGAGGTTCAAATAGCAACAACCCAATAAAGTTCGTGACACTAAGGGACCGTTTACTGAACACTTACCTTGTAAAGTGCTTACCTATTCAATTACCTTTCTAGATGAACATAACAAGTATCGAGAAAATTACCAGGTAAGAGGAAAGGCAATGACCGATAGTCTTACCCGGTAAGTGAGGTTGATGAATCTTAGCGGGTTATAAACGCTTACCATCAATCCACTTTGATGGCTGGAATGTTACTACACTAGGTAGGTGAGGGTGGTAACCGCGTTTACCGTAAACGGCCCCTTAGTTGAGCTCCACCTATATCATTAATCTATATATTTCAACTTGGATTTTTTAATGATTTTGAGTTGTCTACAGTTGAAAATGTTATCTTTTCAACAAGTATTTGTAGTTGTTGACTTCATTATATGCCAATCCTTAATATAGGGGTGGGTGGGGAAGAACGGTCGGCAATCACTACATAAATTTTCAAAAAATATTTGAGCTCGAGCCCTAAATTGAAAAAGTTATTCGAGTCGAGCTCGAGCGTGGTATTTTTTTGAGCTCAACTCGTTTACACCCGTGAGACAAGATGAGACAGAACATGACAAAACAAAAACTTGTTATCCCACGTTTGGTGCGAGAATTAGATTGGGATAGGACTGAGTAGGATAAAAATGCAGTTTTTTTTTGTCCCGCCAAAATAGGTCGAACAAAAATCAGGAAGTTGTGACAAGATAGGTAAATTACTAAACTACCCATGTCAAATTAACACCTTAGAACCTTCCACAATTCTTTCACCGCCTACCTCACTCTCGTCAATCCTGTCCACATACCAAGCACACCCTAATACAATCGTTCTTCAAATGTAAGGTAATAAGTTGTACATTTGAAATCAGTAAATGAGGTCCATAAGCAAAGAATCTACCAAAAATTTAGATGAGATCTACCAAAGGGGCACTGGTCCAACAGTATCCGGTATTCCAACTTTTCTAGATATCAGGTGTTCCAACCTCACCAAAGGTGGGCACTGTATGAGTTTCATTTGCCGTATATAAATATTATACACTTTAAAAAAGGTTAAAAGTTACATATACCAGCGATAGGGAAAGTGCGTGTTCTGTAAAAGTGGTTGCGATGTAGAAATTTTGTTGGTCCATACAAAGAACTAGAGATTAATGAAGATATCATCAGTAGGACAAGAGTATATAATACTTTAACTATTATGTGTCATCAATTTTGTTAGTACAGACAAAACCAATGGTAAGCTGAAGGACTAGTAAGGGTTGTAAACTACAACTCTGTTATGAAAAATTCCAATCAAGTTAAATTTTTCTAATTGGACTTGACAATCATTATCAGTGTAGCGGAGTGTTATGACTTATGAAGAACATTATCTCACACACGACCCTCCTTCACCGATGGCAATGGCATAAACCAAACCAAAACAAAGACACCTGGTATGTCCCACTCGGAAGTAGGGTCTTGGGGTGTGAGATGTATGCAAACCTGACTTCTAACCTCTGCCCTAAAAAGTATAGAGCGGTTGTTCCTATGAAGACCCTCAGCTTGATAAAAGACTAGCAAACTTGGGTTTGAGGTGTCTCAATGCTAACAAGGGATCGTGTTAAGCCAAAGGAAATATGTCCTTGACTTGCTATCTAAATGTGGGTTACCGAGTTGTAAATGGTTGATTCACCCATGATTCAGAACAAAAAACTAATGCCTGAAGAACGGGAGCCTCTAAAAGATACAGAAAGATACCGATGATTGGTAGGAAAACTTAAATACCTCACAGTTACACAGCTAGTCATCTCATATTCTGTGAGTGTGGTAAGTCGGTTTCTATCTAATCCCTACATTGTCATTTGGCATATTGTTTGATGAAATTAATGAAAGGAACACCTTAGCTATTTCAATTTCCATACCATATACTTACGGTGCATGTTTTTATTAACATTTACATCACATTTGCTGTAATTGTTGTCAAGAATGTGATGTAGGCAGCTCGTTCTTTCGTTAAACACAGATGTTAAACTCATACATAAAAGAACTCATGTTTACTAGAGTACTACGTAACCAACCAAATAAACCAGAAGGCAGATGAAAACATTTTAGGGATGAATGCATCATGTACGATGATCAAGGCAAGCCAGATAACACATCAAACTGAAAGAGACTCGAACAACTGCCCAAAAATCGTCCAACCTTAAAAGCCCAGAAAGCTTGAGCATCAACGTATCATTCTTGATGCAATATTTTAACGGTGAGATGTATTAAAAAAAAAAACAAGGTAAGTTAAACTATAATTAATAAAAAAAACAAGGTAAGTTAAACTATAATTAATAAAGTGAAAGATTTTGGCTTTGTGAAGAACATCTGCATATGCTTCTTGACATAAATGAAAGACAACCGAGTTTTAAACTTTTGATATGTAGATATCTGAAAAAGTATGGTTCATGGATCTCATGGCTAGTTTTCTTCTCTTTTTCCTTTTTGAAGCTCTCATAGACCATTAAAAGCAGACTGAGATTTTGTTCCAAATGAGCATGGATTTTGGATAGCATGTAATGTAAACGTCGTAGATATAGCCCTTTGAAACAGAAAATCAAGTGACGGGTGGTTTAGTATTTTGCAAGAAAACAAATCCTAGGTGGGATTGGGGGATATCACTTACTATTTGCTGACTGACCTTACAATGGGAAAGTCATGTCCATCTAGAAAAAGGTACAAACTTCCCTTTTGAAGGGAGACAAACCAGAGTTTGAAGACAATGGCATGGTGCCATGTCAAGGTGGGTCAGCAACTCATAGTCACTAGCTATTTACATGTCAGTAATGAGGGGTTATTTAGGAGAATAACATTCTAACAAATTCTTTTTGACGCACGACCTTCTGACAGAGTTTTGAGGCATTCTTGTGTTAGGAAGAGGCATTATTCTGTTAGGCAGGGGCATTCTCAAATCTGTCAGGAGGTTATGCATTAAAAAAAATCTACCCGAAGGTTATCCTCTTAGATAACCCAGTGAATCACCATCACATCAACAGCATGCCAGCGCTCAGGAAAGCACACTTCCGAATACAGGACTTGGTCGGTTCCATGTAGGTACTCGACCAGTTGAACATTATTTGCACACTAACGAGATGATCTAGTCAACTGACAATCTGAATATCTGATCCCGTGATATGTTTTCAATGTCCTGTGCACACACCAACCTAAATTTTGCTCAACATGACTCCTTGACATGCTTATATTAATATTGGACATTGTAGCATGTAAAATTTCGAGACTGGTGTTTAAGAAGGCCAACAAGTTTGAAATGCCAACACAGGACACTGAAGGAATGGCTGGTTGCATGCATTTGCAAACAAAGGGCCATGGGTTCGACCCTCATTGCGGCCTTCCTCCAATTTTTTCGCAAAAGGCTAGAAGATAAAAGTTGAAAACAGGTATACTGCTAAAAGCGGGGTTCTAACTCGCACCTTTTCGGGTAAGACACTTTAACCTGATGACTTAGACCAGCTCAGCCACCACAAACTTCTGTCTAAAGGAACTTGGGTATCAGCTCATTATGAGACAAATGAACTTGTTATTAGTAACTCTCAGTGGCAGATAAGGATCACTAACTTTTAAACCAACCAGCATAGCAAGCAGCTGAATCATAAATTATGGACCACATTACTAATAAGGGGGCAGTTTCAGGTAGACCTAAAATTGATTAGGAACCCGGAACTACCCAGGGATATGGACATGTTATTCTTCGTGAATGTTGTAACATATTCAAATTGAATATGAATGTGTGATTCCTGATAAATAGAATGTGCATATTCATCGTGAATGTGTGATATATGTCAATAACACTTCCATATTCATTCATGTATGTGCTATTCATGATGAATATTCATCCCGAAGATGGACAATTGGGGCCAGAGTTGTGGGCGCCGAGTTCCTTATCAATATTGGGTTCTAACTGAACTTTCCACTATTAATAAGACATAACTAAGTATAAATCATGATCAAGAATAAAGAGATAAATCAGGCAGAAGAAGTACCAGTGAAATTGATATCACAAGAGTAACCACGCAATTGAGTCTTGTCAAGATGATCCTTATCCGCCTTGAATCGATTGACTCTCGTTTGAAGAATCTGACAATTTTCAACTACTGATTCACCACCTACAAAATCATTATCAATCACAAAATTTTACTTCACAAGATCTTCAGAAACGCTGAACAAAATTTGAGAAGCTTGCAGAGTTGTAAAGACCTTTGGAGTAGGGAACAATGTGATCGTATTCAAAGCAAAGACATCCCTGACAATTGCAGAAGCGCTTACAGACGACGTTGCCGGCGGCGTCTTTGCGCCACCGGTCTGGGTGTCGTCCAGGGACAACTTCGGCTCTGGCCCAGCACAGTTTCTTGGTCATGTTGTCAAAGAATCTTGGTCTTTTCTCCTTCCCGTTGTCACTGTGTTCGCCGCCGCCATGATCACGCTGCGGCGACAAGGGGGAAGTAGAATTAGAACTCATATTTCATCTCTCTCTCTCTCCTCTATGGAAGTACGGAATCGGAGAGACAAGGTGTTCGAGAAAATGCCCAAACAAACTCCATTTCCACTGACGATCAAGAAAAGCAAATAAAATTTAGATTATAACCACTGATTTAATTTTAAATAAAAATTAATATCGGGTTTCTACGAAAAAGATAGTTATTATGAGAAGTGTAAGAAAAATCTCTATTTTTATTTAATTCTAATTAAATATCAACACTAATAAACTACATCTGGATCTATTAGATTAATTCATTTCTAAATCGTAATTCATAGAGTGGGCATGAGATTAAAAGTGAACAAATGTTCATATATTTTCTTACGTTTTTCAATATAACTTTCTTTCTCACACCGTTTTTCGCCTATAAATAGAATCTTTTTCTTTTACAAACCCAATAACTAATATCAATAAGTTTTCAAATGTTGTTTATAAAACAACATGTAATAAAATACAATATTGTTTCATATGAAAAACATTCAGAACTGTTTTTTCATACACAAAATACTGAAAATAGTATTGAACGTTTCACATATGAAACAATATTATATAAGAACATTTCCAACATATATACTATATTTTCTATCCTTTTTTTTTCTTTCCAAATTTAGAGATTTTCCGTAATCGCTCATTTTTCTCTATTTTAGAGAAGAGTGTTTAAAAATTTCTAAAATGTCATAGGTATTGGAGATGCTTTTAAACACCGAATTTTTACACGTGTCATTTAACATGTGAAATAACACATGCAAATGGGTTTATACATTTCTACGATTATTGGATTTGTAAATAATTATATATCTATAAAATCCACATTAATTTAGATGTTTAAAGTTGTTCTTGGCCGAAGTTTACGTAAATGACATTGATTTCGAGTTGAGTCATTTCATCTGTTTTTTCTGGCTCGGTTATTTGAAACTTTTTGACAAAGTTCCATAGCCTCTGGTCTTTTTATATCAATTTCTAACCTATTTTGTTTTTACTATCAATAATTACTTAAATCTAGTAAATGGTCTATGAGTCTTTTTATCAAAACCTTTTTTTTCGAGATCTCAAGCTCAAATAGTCATCATTCATTCAAATTGGGCTCCTAATTATTTATCTCTCTAATGTCACTACTTTCGCAATATCATTGCGGACCTAGCTAAAGACCAAAAATTCAACACAAATATACAATTGTGACGGCCAGATATGTAATTGTGATGGTCAGGTCCGCAACTGCGACGATAAACTGGTTGAATTTGACAATTTTTTTGTCTTTTAGCTATTGTCGCCTGAGAATTGCGGATGTAGTAACATTTGGGTCAATCAGGAAGAGAAATAGTTAGGAGGTCAATTTGAATGAAGAAAATTATCATTTAACTCAAGAAATCATGTTACTTAATATTGTGTTTTTAGGTGTTGTTTGGCAATTGTTGAATGGTTTGGTGCAAAATGATTAAGTGGTCAGAATGATTAAGAGACTCTCATGATATAGTGCAAAATGAAATATAATTGTTTGGTAATTGTATACAATGAAATTAGGGCTCTTAATGGTTAAAGCACATCCATGATACAAAATCATTCAAAGGGTTTTAGAACCATTAAGAGGCAGATTTTTTTTTGGCCAAACAAGATTCACTTCTTAAATTCTGAAGTTACCTCTTAATAGAACTATTAAGAGGTAAATTTTCATAGTAAAAAAAGTGGCATTTATTTGGTCAAAAGTTACATATCTGTGTGGCTAAGATGCTTAATTTGAAACAAGATGTAAATGAGTACAAGTACGAAGAAACTCCATGACTGACTCATTAAGCTCCGCAACTTTACCACTCGTTGCAGTAGTGTCCAGAACCAGCTTCGGCACCTTGCCCACATCATAATCAGTGCACCCCTTGTAACCCTCCAACAGCTTCTCCATATCCAGCCATGTCGATGGCTTATGCCAACTCCCACAACAACCATCTTCCCCTCTTTTCTCAAGCCTCCGACGCCACTCAGCCTCGTCTTTAGGCTTACACTCGACCACAACAACCTCATAACCATCGAAAGAACCTGCTAACTCAACCAACCGATCCAAATGCGCCTTTTGCGAAAGAGGCGAGTCGATCACCACACTCAGCCCAACACTCAACTGAGTCTTCACCATCCGCCACAGTGCTTCATATGAGAGGTCGTTAAGGAGTTTAGTAGCATCTTGCGACTCCAGTTTTGCTTCTACTGCAAAAGTGGAGTCACGCACGTCGTCCTTATCGAGGAGTGGACATCTTAATGATGCAGCTATGAAACGGGAGAGTGTCGTTTTTCCTGTACCAGGGTGTCCTTTCATTGCTACTATGACTCTTCCTGGTCCAGCTTCTTGTTCCATGGCGGACTTTTGATTTTCTTAAGTGCTATGAATTCAGTTCAATGTAATATAGTTCTTATCAAGAACAACTGAGAGTTCTACACGGAAGTTGTTTAAGTACATACACTACAAAATACTTCTATCAATTTGGTTGTTTTCATGTAAGATAGAAACAAGAGCATCTTGCCATTTTGTTAAGAGTGTGTTGACAAGTGTTACTGATGATAAGCTTTGCCAGGTCACAACGATGGTGACTAGATTGGGAATAATTTACAAAAATGGTCATTGATTTATCGGATAATCTACAATATGAGCTCTCAACTATCAACGTTAACATTCTAGTCCTTCGATTAAAGATGTACAAAAGATCAGGCTTGACTACTGGTGTCAGGCCTTGGGCCGAATGGTTGTGATATGGTTAGTACATGTATCGTGAATGTACTTCTGCGGACGATCAGGACAAGACAAGGCTGACATGATGTTACCAGACCATCATGGTTCGTGTTCTATATTTAACGTTCGTCTTGTATTTGTAGAAGGTTCTAAATGATATCATGATATATTCTTAATTGTTTAGGGACTTGTTGAGCTCTTTATGATTTTGACTTCCTATATTAGTTAAAGTATGGAAACAGGGAGTCCACCGGAGATGCTCTAACCTATTGATTTGAACTTTGATGAACATGACACAAGTTAACAGGTTTTTTCTTTTCAATTTCAATGTTAGAATATTCTCATTTCTTATTAAAACATTGTACTTTCAAGCATGTTTATATAACTTACAATCTAATGGATTAAATGAGTTTACAGAAGATCATCATTTTATCAGTGAATTTCATAGCATAGTTTGTAATGTCAATAGTAAACAAGTGCAATATCTTTTCAAAATCACATTCGTTTAATTACCTTGATATTTGATCGAGTTGAACTAGTTTCTCACTACTACCTTCCCTGTCCTTCTCAACAGTGTTCTTCCGTAATTTGTTCAAAGTTAGCCTTTCACTTGACCTTCTCTTTTTTGGGATTATATTCCACCACGGTCCCACTTGAGATTCCAGTTCAAGTTGCACTTGAGATCGCTCATGTTCAAATCATTGCACAAATTAGTACACAATCATGTCACGAAATTGGTATACAATTGCTGATCAAGGCACGCATGCAATCGTGTCACGGTTTCACTATGCATTCGAGATTGTTCTTGTTGAGTTGCTTCATCTTCTACTTCCTTTCCACACACCCTGGACCTTCGATATCCCCTTCACTCCTTTCTCCTCCAAAATTAGTCACAAACCTACCTGACAGTAACAACAAAGATTATCACATAACAGCAAAAATTTAACAGCATATTGATAAAATCACATAAAGTTTTTAGCAGCATATTAGTAACAATCAAGTAAAAATCAAAATCACATAACAACAATAATTTAACAGCACACCATTCATTCATTCTTCCACACCAGTACTGCTTCCAACACTATGCAGCCTAAGATATGAGTTGTGAGTTACATTATCAATTAAAAACAGAGAAGAAACTAACAATTTGAAATTTTTGTATGATCTTCAACTCCACTACATTCTCAAAGTTTCTATCCTTAGATCATAGATGTATAATCAAGCTCAATAAAGTTTGAATAAATCTGCAATTGCTTACTTTATAGCTCCTGATGAATAAAAATTACATCCTCATGTTGTTCTGAACAGGTTCGCTAACCTAGATTCCGTTATACGAGATATAGCTACAGTTCGTAACAGCTGAGGAATCTGGGAAGATCTTCGAAAATTTAATTCAACAAGAGAAATACCAAATGCAACGAATAGTTATCATTCAGATACAGGATCTGTAAGCAGCAAAAGGAGAACGAAGATTAAGAGGCAAATAGTGTTTGTACAGTTTCCAAATGCGCACATGAAATGCCTAATTTCATACATCCATAGATGTTTCATCAAGTTTCGACAAAAGATAACAAGATAGGAATTGTTAACCTGCGAAGGCGATGATGCTCCAACTCCGGATCAATTCTCCGGTGATGATAAATAGCTTTCTCAAGATTGAGAGTCGTGCTCAAAAACCCGATCAACCCGATCCAATACGAAATAACCCAATCCGTGAAGCAGCCGATTGAGTTGTAAAATTGTCAAACCGCAAGTATTGGATTGACAGTGGGTTTACTATTATTTGACCTCAACCCAACCCGATATCCTTTTAATTCTTGGATTTAATATGATTGTTAAATTTCTATTAAAATACATATTAGACAATTATATTATCATGTATGTTTTTCATATACACATATTTTTAATCTATTCATATCTTTATATAACTCATTCGTATATATGTTCAATAACTATGAACATATATATGTAATTTGAGAAAATTAACTGAATGTGATATACGTAAGAAATATGGATAAATTGTATCAAATGGTTGATGATGAAAAAGAAATTATGAGTAGAGAACTAACATATTCAAAGTTAAAAGAATATTTTAATGTATCAAAGTATCAATCCGACCAACCCGTACGGGTTGGGTTGTTCAAATGTCTTCAACCCGATCAACCAAACCCATGAGCACCCACCACTGAGGACTTGTTTTTTATGAAACTAGGAACGGGTTTTCTAAAATATGAAAAACTAAGATTTGTTTTTTATGTTAGAGAAAAATCTAAAAAAACCCAATGTATTTTAGTGTTTGGCATGATTAAGTTTTTAGATAATTTTTTGGAACAAATAAGTCATTGGATATTTTAAAACATGTTAAATAACTCTTTAAGCATTCTAAAATATGTTAGATACATTCTTATGACTTATACAATTAGTTAATACGGTAAAATAATGTTTGTAATTTGATTTGGAGGCATCAATAGTAGGTATTTATAAGTTCAATGATCACTTTATCTATTTGCATAATTTCATTATCTTGTCCATAAATACATAATTTGCTTATGAGAATTCCCATTAAACTCTTTTTGAGAATGTGCACTTTTTATTTGCAATTACTTGTATGCTAATTAGTGATGGACGAAAATGCACGAGTAAGGTGGACAAATGAAATTATCAAATGCTTTTTAGAGACTTGTATAAAAAAAGGTCAATAAAGTGGGTCGAAATGGGGGTAGTCTTTGAAAAGAAACTTGGGTAAAGTTGGCATCAAAGCTTGAGGATGAGTACCATGTGAAGCTAACCTATAAACAAGTTTCTACTTATAATTTTATTTATGCTTTTAACAGGTTTATTATTTACGGGATGTTTCTACTTGTTTATGTTCTACTTGTGATGAGTTATTTTCTGAGTATGATCAAACCGACGAGCAAGGGGATGATGGTGAGGATGAGGCTGAAGATGTTCAATCGCATGGGAGTGTCGTTGACCAAACGTATATGGCTAGTTTAAGAGAAGAAATTGTGACACAATTAATGTAAAATGAATATTGATTCTAGCTGTTATGAGACTTTGTCGTGTTTAATATTGTCTGTTGAATCAATTGATGTATTTCAGTTGAATTTTTGTATGCGTTAAAATTAGATGGTAGTTTACAAATAGTTTAAATGATTGGATATTTCAGTTGAATTTAATTGAAATGAATTGATTCAAATTCCATATTTCAGACGTTTGTCAGTTTGCAAAAACAATCAGTTTTATTTATTCAGATTTCAAACTTCAAACGTAAAAACAAACAGTCTGACTAATCAGATTTCAGATTTCAGACGTAAAAACAAACAGACTAACTGATTCAGATTTCAGACTTCAGCACCACCTCTTAAAAATCAGAAGTGAAATCAAACTTCAGACTTCAGCAACTCTTAAAAAAACAAATGCCCTCTAAGATTCAAAAAATCCAATAAATAAATTGCATGAAAAAGTAGCGTACTTTAATTTGATTTCTATTTTGTATAACATACTTCAAAACTTTCATCTTAATACCTAAGACGTAAAGTTTTAAACATTTAAATACTCTGGAGAACCAGTTGAAATATTAACCGGATATCATACTGATGTGACGAGTGATGAAATAAAATTAGGTTGAATAGGAAATACTACGAAATTGAAACCACATCACTCGTCACATCCTCATTGGTTACCCGAGTAGTTTAAATATTTACAACTTTACATCTTAGATATCAAAATAAAAGTTTTGAAAACACGTTACTTAAAATAGATATCAAGTTAAAATACGTTATTTTTTTTCATACAATCTACCCTAAAACATAAAGAAAAAAAAAAAGCATACTTAATATTTGAGAGTTCGATTTTGCTCCGGAATAGGAACATACCTGTGCTACTTTATTTCATATAAAAGTCGTGCTAAACATTTTCTAGGTACCAAGCACTCCCATAAACTCGATTGTTGTCATACTCTTATCAATTAAAATTTAACATTAAAAGAAAATCATTTTTGCCAACAATCTATAAACTACACATCTAAAGGTGGAACTGAGGACCACCGACATATCTCAATGACTGCAAGCACAGAATAAATGCATCTCTATTTCCATCATTCAGATCTCTGATTACTATGATCTAGAAAATCAGTAATTTTAAGTGTGTTTCTATCCTAATGAAATCAGTCCACATCAACCGAAGACCAAAAAACCAAGGGTTTTTGCCCCTTAGAACCCTGCTAAAGGCACTGCCTCTACAACACTGCAAGGGGGCAGGGTAACATTTGTGATTGTGCTCTCCACACATATCTCAAGTAAATCAAAATTACATCAACTATTTGATGACACTAAAATCACCTGCAAGCAAGCATAGAATAGCGTTTGTATTTCAATACCTTAAATACCAAGGATACAATCCATCACACATAACATCATCTGGTAAGAGTCCTGAACCAAAGTACAGCACCACACCGTCCCGATAAAAACAAATTCAACATACATTGAGAAAATACTTTATGTTCGTCGGTTCAAACAAGATAAAAGAAGAATAATAATCGAACAAGATAGAGTTCCCAGATTGATTACTAGTCATAGTAGTAGTATTACAACAGAAAAACACATTTCTGTTGCTTCGTTTTTCTCCATACCCCTATTTGGGACCAATGTCCTTGAGAGCGCAGATCTGCTCCTCTCCCATTGCAGACATCACACTCACAACCAGGTCCTTTCCCTCTGCAAATCCATCCTTAATCTACAACCACCACCATTGTATAAATCAGAAACTCAAGATAAAAAGACGGGTTTTCTTCATAAGTATCTTGTCTTCATATCAAAATCAACGAAACATCATAAATAATAACACACTTGTTCATGGACAAAGGATCGTGTGATAATAAGAGTCAAAGTGAGAAGTGTAAGAAGCGATGTGGACCCTGGATCCCAAAATAACCCATGAATTAGCTTAGCAAAGCATTTTCGATTGATCTTTAATTGGGATTGATAGGGGTGGAGATCCCTTCTTACCCTCTCACAGTGATTACTATTATTACCAGAAACCAACTCCTTGTTCATATTATGCCCCATAAAATGAAGCAACAATGTACCTGTGTCAGGAGAGCGTCATCAGTTGGGAGCTTCAGGTCATCCTTAGTGTTGCCATTTTCAGTCAGCAAACTCACCTGAGAATTTTATTTCTAATCAAGCTCAAATTTAATGCATAAATAAGATTATTTATAACGACTGAATAGAAGGAATAAACCGTACAAATCCATCCTCAGAAATATCAATTAGCTGGTAGTCAGTACGATTCACATGAGGGACCTGCAAAACAGATGTATAACAATGTTAATAATAGATGGAATCAACAAAAGAAAAATGAGCCATGAATTGCTTACATCACAGTTATGGGACGAGGGAACAATATCTTCAAGCTTTTTCCCATTGAAGATGTCGATCGCCACAAAGTGACACTTTGCGTGACCATGCTTGCCAGTCTTGGAGGTAGAAACTTCCACAACCTGTTATATATCCACAATAAGTCAATACAATGCATTTAACATCATAAAACAAGATTCTCAACACCTTTATCTATTGCAAATAAAGTCCATCTATTAAAGACCAAATTAAGTATACAGTAACAGCAATTACCAATCGTGACCAATTATTGCAGACAATACCAAACACACCAACACAAATTCTACTTTTTATACATGAACAATGTGAAGATCTGGTACACCATAACATAAATATAAAGCTATGACATGTAGATTTGAATTTCACCCAAAACATTTAAGTTGGTTAGAAGCAATAAAGAGCTAGCTATAATGTCAATTCTTGCAAAAACCATGGGGGTGTTACAAATTAGTCTAACAGGGTCATAACTTATTCAACTCGCAGTCAATCACGATATTCAATCTACCTATTCACTCCTACACATCAATTTGCAATTGCAGTATTTGTGAACTGATATAAAAGTATAAGGACCTATTGCTCTGGTGATAGTATTCTGAAAGCTCATTCATTCAAAGAGAACCAAGTGTTGCTCAAAGTTCAAAGACTTGAATCTTAGTTCCCTATTTATCACAATTCATAATCACCAAAGCTTTTGTAGACTTTAACCATCTACTCTTAACCCAGAGCTCTTACATATAAGCCTAGAAATTACAAAAGTTTTGCAATTAGGGTTTCAAAATCGATTCCCAAATCTCATGATGTGGTTGTAGGTACAACCGTACAAGCAGTCTATGCTTGCATCTGAAAGAGTAAATACTACAGCTCAAGTCAGCTCCATCTTCTAAATCCTAATATTTGGTCCCAAACCCTAGCGAAAGATACAAATTCAATATAATAAATCTAGGTCAGAAATCCGACCGGCATGTCTCTTGAAACCTAAGAAAATCAACTGTAAGTCTACACCCAAATTTCTGGAGATAAAAATAATTCAAAACAACAAAAATCGAAACCCTAACACCCGAAGTCAAAACCAAATCAACTCACACCACCAATACAGATTTAACATAGACAAAAGAAGATCCAACTACAGGATACCAGAAAACAAAAGAAATCGGAAGTTAGAGAGACGAGGAGTAAAGCAAACCTTGCAAGCACGGTTTTTGATGACGATGTGACCTCCCTTACGGATAGTGCCAGCTTGCTGAGGGTAGGTCTTGGAAGCACCGGCGTCGGCCTTTGATTCAAACTGATGCTCTTCGTCCGACATAGTTTTTCAGACGGATTGATTTGAGTGGATAAAGAGATCGAATCGAAGTGATGCGAATTGGGGGAGGGAAGGCAGGGAGAGGCGGAGCGAGATGGAATGGAGGGTGTGAGTTTATATATAGTAAGGGTTTAGGGGTGGGGACGAGGCCCGGTTCAGCCGTCGGTTTGTTTTTTTGAGATATATGTTAGCGTTTTTAGAACGCCGAGTTAAGTGAATCGGCCACGTGTGAATCATCGCTCATAAAAACCTGACCCGAACCGATACGACCCGACCCATGTGTGTTCAAAGTGGTCATCATCTTTTCAACTTTCACCTCTCAATTTTAGAATCTCATTCCTTTTTCTCTTTTCTAATATATTATACCCTCGTGATCTTATTTGTTCGCTTTTTTCTATTAACCTAGATATTCAACCCGTCATACAAGTCGACTAATCTTAGAACGACCACCTTTTTTACTGGTAGTCTAGAGTCATCGCATTTGGACCTCCATGACTACAAGAGGATTTTTTATTCCTCATCAGATTTGAATCTGGGACCTCCGGTCACTTTTGACCTTTAGAGTCCAAGCTTAAACCAATCAGACGCTACCCTTTTGGTTTTTATTCCTTCTTTTTATATGTTTTAAATGGTACATATTATCGAAGTGATAGTCGTTGAATCATTCGATCTTACCAGGTATGATTTCTTTATTTACTTTCAAGATCTTTTCTTGGAGTGATGTATCAACTAAAAAAGGAACTGAACTCTTTCTTCAAGACAAAATTGAATTTTGGTTGAAAAAACATTTCAGGAAGGTCTCTCTCTTCAATTTCTACAAGACCAACAACGAAGTCTAGGACAAGGTCCGACACTTCTGAATACGATTCTCAGGTCCAGGAAGTGTCTCCTCATGCCCACACTTCGGATGTTGGAGTCTTTGTTTATGAGACTATGATACCAATAGAACCATCGGTAGCTTTCATACAGAACCGAACGAGAAGATTTATCAAAGTTATCATCCATCCAAGCAACTCTCTAGCCAACAATTCTCAACAACCGACGCTATTGAATTTGGCCATTCAGGACCCATGGCATTCGAACCATTAACCACTCCTCAATATCCTCTCAAAAGGATATGGTTGTAGAAACGATTTTAGCCCCATAGACAGTTATTTCATTTTTAAATGCAATTAGTGGTGCTTTAGACTCCTCCGACGTCCTCTGGATTAAAAACATCCTTTCAAGCGCCTCTGATATCAATTTACTTGATCGAAGTGACTCCTATTTTCACCTCCAACAATCTCAGGTGGGATGCTCAACCTACTCCGTTACCTTTGCATGCTCATATTCTCCCACATACTTCATCGTTTATCCCTCTGAATTCCATTGATCAACACCTTCAAGAGTTAGAGAGACAACTTAGTGATCTTTAAATTGCTCACACCTTATCCGACAGAATTCTTGTAAAGAGTTCCAAACTCCAAGAAGAAATGGCAAAAAATCTTGTTCATTATTTCATTACATCACTAGAACAACCTCACTTTAAGATCAACTTATAGTTTTCCATGATCTGCATGTTATTCCAAGACAATGTGACATCATTTGGTTGTGTTCCTTTTACACTTGAGGATCGTACCAGAATGATCCGACTTAGAGAACATTACGAATGGTTTGATGTATCACTCTGTGTGATATCTACAAGGATTAGGAAAATAATTGAATTACCCCAAATACAGTTGTTACCTTCAAACGCAGAAGACGTCACCGAATAGCTAGATACTTCTCATGTCTCTCATTAGCACTCAAATCATCATTGTGTCAACTAGTACCAAACCCCAATGAAGACCTGATGCATATAACAACAAATAAAAAGGTTAGGCTTAATGCCTAGTGAGTTCATGTAGTTTTCATCATAATTATAGAACAGTACAACTGAAAGACTGCATATTTAGAACATAATTTCTCAACTGAAATGCAATTATCGTAAAAGTGACTACTTTACAGAATTTCACTGTTTTCGTGATGAAAACTCTAAATCAAAATACCTATTTAGTATGAAATCAAAACCTAACACTTACTCAAAAAAAAACGTAAATGAGGTTTAATGTCCAATTATTTAAAACATGGATAAAAACTATGTTATTCCAAAATGCCCAAAAGGAGAATAAGGTTCAATACCCAAAATCATATATAAATAGAAAACACTCTGTATTCAAAACAATGCAGAAAACGAGGATAATACTATATCCGAAAATAACACCATTCGATGACGGGGGAAACTTGTATCTATCGGATGTGGCGATCACAAAAGTAAGCCACAATCAATGTGAATGAGCCTCAACTAGGGATCATATGATCATCAAGTTCGACCATCTACAGTCTGTAGTTTGAGTCCTCTGCCGATTACCTAGCTACTAACGAGTTGCAGAGTCGTCGAGTCCAACCACCATGGTCTATATCTCAAGTCCTCTGCGACCGATCATAAAATTATCAAGTTCAACCACTAACAGTTTGTAGTTTGAGTTAACTATTGCATCTATACTTTCTAGAAAGAATATAGGGACAATAGTCCAATTCCAAACCATCAACTGACTCATTTGCCTATGGATCAATTACATTACAGTCTAAATTTACACGGCGCTAATTAAATGACTAATGCAGCCAAAATATGTAATATATCAAATAACTACGGCACAACTGCATATAACTCCAAATGATCGACATAGAACAAATAAACTGGATAAGTGTCCCCCAAGACACATCCGAGTTAAAACATCAAAATCCCCATTTATGAAATAAATCATCAAAATATCACGCTCTCAAGATTTATTTACCAAAGAGTCTAAAAACTCCAAATACGGGTATCTTGCTAGATTTATAAAATCAAATATACAAAATATTAAAAACACACCAAATAATCCACACATATTAAAAATATCATGTAAAACATGTTAACACTTTAAAATGCGCATTTTGACATGTACATAGTTTTCACAAAGCAACTTGAACTCACGTTATTAGGTTAGATTACTAAACACGATCTTTAGCTTCCATTGGGTGATGATATGAGATCCACGAGCAAAACCCCACCACAGAACTCCTCAAGCCTAGAAATGAATCTCCAATAGATGTTCAAGATTACCACATCAAGGTACTGAGATCTTCCAACCAAACCCTTCCATGAAATCTTTCCAACTCCTTAAATACAAGCTTCCAAACACCAAATCTTGAACTCCTTGGGGCGAATCCACACCAAGATGTTTCCAGATATGAGGCCAAAGATCCCAAAAATCGTCCCGGTATGAGAGAAGATTGGAGTGGGTGAAAAGTGGACAAACCCCAGCTCAAAAATGAGGTTTAAAATCCAATCTAGACATTCCCACGACCTTTCCTACGATCGTAGTTGCGTGGTAAACTGCCCACATCCAAAAATCTGTATTGTTGAAACAAAGAGTTGTGCAACTTTTCCCACAACCTAGTAGCGGGATAAGTAGCCAGATTTTTGTTGCTTTCCCGGTGCCATTTTTCTCTACTTGAACTCGCCCATATCATAAGCACTTATGACCCAATGCATTTCACTCAAATATGATCTCCAAAGGCTTATTTCAATACATCAATCTTAAAGGTATGCCCATAAAATACGAGTCTTACAAGTTTACATTTTCAATGTTTATATCTTTACACTATCGACTTGTTCTTTCAAATTATGTAACCCGAAAAGAATAGAAAAAGAAAAGAGAACCGAAAAAGAGAAAAGAAAAGGAAAAACCCATAAAAAGAAATGAAAAACAGAAAGAACAAATATAACAAGACAAAAAGAATCTGAAAATAGAACACTGAATTTATGAGTTCAAATGTGTCTTGTTTTATGAATTCTAACCAAATCCAAATCGAGGTCCTATCCTAAAATTTATTTAGGATCCAAATATTTTATAATCTTGCTGAAATCTGAAATAGTTTATAGTTCGCAGAGAAAAATAGAATGAGATTTTGATTGTAAAAGACTTATTATATGTATTGGTCCAAATGCACAATGCATTCAACAAAATCGAATACCGATTAAAGTGAAGCCAAGATAGTTACCAAAGCGGATTGGATTGTCGTCTAGCCGATTGAAGACCAGTACGAGATAAAGTCAAAAATAGTTTGACAAACATTATTTTCGGTGAGCCAATTTTTTATTGCAAATTTAACCAACAAGTTTGGCTCACCAACTCTACAAACTATTGTCTTGGTACAGGAACATGCTCAACATGTCAACTAAGCAAGTTCAAAAATACTAGTTTATAATTTATTAATACTATACTTCTTTTACGATGTTGTGTTAACAAACGTCTACACCAATATCAAACAGCTGAAATGAAGAGTACAAACATGCACTGATCAACAATTAGATGAAAACGCACGTTGAAGTTGGATAATTACATTTAATGCAATGGTGGCTACAAATGACAACCCTTGTCAAATGTTGCAACTCACCCGTTCTGATAGGAATTTATGAGTGACAGGTTTTTAGGTAAAATCAACGTCAACATCTGAAAACTGTCTCAATTCCTTAAATATGATACAATACCTTCTTTTACTCTTTCGGTCTATAGCAAAATTCGTCATCAGCTAGATTGTTCAGGATCAGTTAATTTTGTATTTATAGGTCACAAGTTTGAATCCATTTTTTTTTCTTGATTATTTTGGAAAACATAAAAGAAAAATAAACGACTTCAAATTTACAAAAAAAAACCCTATATAACAATTTTATTGAAATCATAGTCTTTATGGTTAATATTTATTTTATTTGATATCATTTAAATCGCTTTTTGCTTTTGATTTAGATAAAATTATAACTTATCAAAGTACATGTTATATTAGTTTTACAACTAATTTAAAGAAAAAGTGAATTATAGATTTAGTCCCTGTATTTTGATATTTTTTACTACGGTACCTATAATATGTATAATTTGGATTTGGTCTTTGTGGTATTGAATTTGTTTTGATCAAGATTTCTCTGACTAATGTCTTCGTTTAACTCCGTTAAATAAATGGTCATTTTAGTCTTTTGACTAGTATAAAAACAATATTTTTATACACACAAACATATATATATATAATACACATACGATAATAAATCAGGGACGTGGACGATTTTCGAAACCAAGTCGCTCTTACACCGCTAAGCCCCTCACATGTATTATTACATGTGATAAGGGTGTTGTTGATATGATACTATAATCCATCAAAACCATCACATGTGATGCTGAATCATAGACGCAGACAATCTTTGGCACAGACTAAGTCGTAGAACACATCGTCCGCACATCACAAGGTTCTCTCACGCGTATTATCACATGTGATAAGGCCTAAGAGTGTTCTCGCATTCTCGTAAAATGGAGGTGTTCTCGTTTTAACTTCCACCTATATACAAATTATATTATATATATATATATATATATAAAATGATATCAAAATAAATAAAATAAGATATTATTTTATGATTTGATTTATTTAAATTAACAAATTAATCTATATATATATATATATATATATATATATATATTAAAGGAAGAACCAAGAGTATTGAGATGACATCATGAGGATTAAGTATTAAGGTGTTGGTGAATTGTGGTTGATTTTGAGATATCCCACATTGGTGAAGAGTTSAAAGATTTGAATAAGATGAAGTGTATAAGAAAGATGGATTTGATGCCTTTGTATCAAATAATAGGGTTTGCCTCATAGGGTTGTCTTTCTTTTGATGACCCTCTTTGAAATCTATAACCATGGTTGGAAACCAAAGAAACCAAAGGGTTTGCCTCATAGGGTTGTCTTTCTTTTGATGACCCTCTTTGAAATCTATAACCATGGTTGGAAACCAAACAAACCAAATGACAGAAATTATAGTGCAAAATTAATTATATTATATTATTATATCTTTATATATATATATATATATATATTAAAGGAATCTCTCTCTTTCTCTCTCTCTCTCTCTCTCTCTCTCTATATATATATATATATCAAAGGAAGAACCAAGAGTATTGAGGTGGCATCATGAGGATTAAGTATTGAGGTGTTGGTAAATTGTGGTTGATTTTGAAATATCCCACATTRGTGAAGAGTTGAAAGATTTGAATAAGATAAAGTATATAAGAAAGGTGGATTGGATGCCTTTGTGTCAAATAATGGGGTTTGCCTCATAGGGTTGTCTTTCTTTTGATGATCCTCTTTGAAATCTATAACCATGGTCGGAAACCAAAGAAACCAAATGGTAGAAATTATAGTATAAAATTAATTATATTATATTATTATATCTTCATATTTATATAAAAGTAAAATCTCTCTCTCTCTCAATATATATATATATTGAGAGAGAGTATATATATATATATATATATATATGTGTGTGTGTGTTACAATTTCACTAATTGTATTTTATTTAACTTTTTCGAATTATTTGAATACTATTTGTTGATAATTTTATTAACAACTAATATATATTTATATAAACAATCTTCAGATCATTAATCAAAGTACTCATACTACCGCGTAACGCGTGGTTCTCATACTAGTTATATTAAATATAATATAATACTATATAATTGAAAAAATTAATAATAATATTAATTGGTGATGGCGGTGGCAATATCAGTGGAGACGATAGTGGTGGTGGTAATGGTGGCAGAGACGAGGATGGTAAAAATGGTGATCGACAGAGGTGGCGACCATGTTGGCAACAACGATTGTGGTAGTGGTGATGATGACGATCATTGTGATGGGATGGAATAGATGAGAGTAAGCATAAGGACATAATTGTCTTTTTCAGACATTGGATGGAATTAAATTAGAATTCCTTACTTAGAAATGTGTATAGAAAACATAACATGAATAAGGTCATGATCATTAACTTCAAATATTAACATCACAAATGCAAAATCACAAGAAAACAAAAATATATCTGAAATGTTGCGATTTTCAAAACTCGTCAACACGAATGGCATCACGAGGCGTCTCGTATGCGTCTCGAGGCCGTGATTTCTTCACACCGGCTGTGAACCATACTTTATCGGACCTGTAATTCTCCACGACCACGCTCGTGACTTTCACCCAAACCAACACCTTCGTCTTCATTCCATCGATCACCGTCAGCTTTCCCCGTGACACCAATGCTTTGACTCGAGTCGCATACCGTATGACAGATTGGTCCTTGAAGCATACCTCACAAGGAGTGGGTAAGTGGACCACGAGCTTTAGTTTCGACTCATCAAACTCGTAGCACAATACGTTTTGTGGGAATAAACCGGGAGGAAGGTTGTATTCTCTAAGAAAATCCGGCAATGGTTTCAACGGTTTGCCTGCAAAAAGAAATAGCAATTAATATACAACCTCTCGTCAAGAATCACGATAGAAGTTGAAGCTTCATGAATTTCTGCCTTCTGCTACTCGTAAATGTTAGAAGCAAGACGTTTTTTTGATAACTGTAGATGTCCGAGCCATCTTGCACACACCTCGACTAATCTCATGTGGTCCCACGAAAATCCTCACCGAGAAACTCGACCTACGAGGAGTCCCAAGGCCCGAACTTTATTTGCCAATTGACCTTTATTTTTTACCTTGTTGAAATGCTTACTTTAGACTACCAGTCTAACCAAGCTTATTTATGTACGCAAGTCCGTGCTGATCTGTCCAGCAGTAGAAGTGTGGATGTAATCCATACAAGTGAGGTCCCGGGTTAGAGTCTGGGCACCACCCATTTGCGAACGGGATGCATGTGCTGATTTACCTCACCTATGATGACCGTGGAACCGGTACGATGGGGGCGCCTCATAGGGTGGCGTCTACCCTCTTATTTATATGTGCACAAATTATAAGTGTAATCCCGTACCTTTTAACTTGTCGAATACCCATTTCGCCTTCTTTTCCACCGTGTTTGAGAACGTCTGCAAACATGAAACAAAACCATTTTAAGACTCCAAAACAAATACTAACAATCCAAAATGTATTGTTGATTATTGAAGGTAAATATAATGTTACATAATTAGAGTATCTCCAATGGAGTGACTCTTCGCAATTGTTGAATGATTTGGTGCAGAATAATTAAGTGGTCTGAATGATTAAGAGACTCTTATGATATAGTGCAAAATGAAATATAATTATTTGGTAATTGTTTACAACAAAATTAGGGCGCTGAATGGTTAAGGGAGGCCCAGGATACAAAATCAATCAAAGAGTTTTAGAACCATTAAGAGACAGACTTTTTTTCCTAAACAAGATTCGCCTCTTAATGATTTAGAGTTGCCTCCTAATGGAACTATTAAAAGGTAAACAAACAACCCCTTATATAAGCATCTCCAACAGACTCTCCATAAACTCAAAATCTCCACAAAAAAAAAAAATTTAACTCAACTCCAATAGATTCTTTATTTGGAAATTTATGACATCATTTTTTGGAAGACCTCCAAATTTCACTCTCTCTCTCATGCTTTCTCCGTTCTGGAGAAATCTTTTGCCTGAAATATCCATTTTTAGAGAATCCGTTGAAGATGCTCTAAAAACATCTTTTTTGTGCCTTTTGTCACATCGTTGCCAACTCAAGCAATTTATGAACCGGCATAAGAGACTACAACGGGAGTGGCTAAATAAGAACCTTCTTTTGTGGGTCCCATGTATTATTTCAACATCAATAATATGGATATAGAAATCAAAAAATATATAAAAACCTGATATTATGTCATTTCACACAAAATTCAAGGTAAGGACCAAGGTTCTCGTACAAGAACTCCAAGGATGTGGGTGACTTATAAGAACCCTCTTCGATGATAGTTCTTATGAGTCGGCACACTTTTTGCTTACAAGAACCTCCCACCGGAGATGCTCTTATCATCCATAACTTAATTATCCAATTTCAATTCTAATTCTTGAAGTTGTAAACAATTAATTTATAAACAAACATCTAAACACCCATTAAATCTTCTACTTGAACTCAACTCATAATCAAGATAGCATACAACATCAATCAACCAACACCTATCATCTCCCCATTTCCTTTATTCCTTATTTCCAATTTTCGGTTCTCCACTTAACCTCGCATTGTCCACGAAACAAAACCGGAAGATGAAAAAGGTAGTGAAAATGACACGAGCCCGATTTTTGACACATATAGTTAGAGAAGAGTCGAGAACATATGCTCTCAATAAAAACAATGAAAATCCCTTAACCACAAGGGTGGTGTCTGATTGGTTTGAGCTTGGCTCCAAAGGTCAAAAGTACCAGGAGGTCCCAGGTTCAAATCCAAGGAGGAATAAAAATCATCTTGTGGCCACGGAGGTTCAAATGCGGTGACTTCGGGCTATTTGCAAAGCAGATGGTCGCCCTGGGATTAGTCGGCTCGCATAGCGGGTTGGATATCCAGGTTAATAAAAAAAAAAACAATGCAAACCCCAGAATCTCAATTGAAATAAAATCAATTCCACTAGAGTTTCTACAAACCCTCAAATGTACAAACAACTTTAATCAAGTAATTGCAATGATTTCCCAATTTCTATGGCATCTATAAGCTAAAATATTGGGTTTCATCTCCATATAAAACAAATTGAACTTGAGTTTTGACCCCTACATTTGGATCAAATTTTCTCTATGAAATGACAAATAAACAAATGTAAGCTTAGGCTGCACATGTTAAAAATGACAAACCACCCTCGTATGTTTAATTTTGACATCGAACACACTTTTGCAAACAAATAGCATAGAGAGAAAAGATCACGAGTGACCAATGATACTATAACAGGGTAAGGTTCAAATGAGAACCATAAATATTTTGAGAATTGTGAAAACCATATATGCATTGACGCATAGGGTTGGGTTCACATGAGACTAACATGTTTTCGTGAGACCCTTGAGACCACTTTTTTACGCTTGAAACTTCATAGCAAAACACTGTGAAGGTAAAAAGAAACCGAACCTTCACAACAAAAACACTTTGAAGGTTACCTTCACAACGTTTTGCTATGAAGTTTCAAGTGACGAAAACAGGCCGGTTTCACGTGATCCCAAGTCTTGACACATATATACTATATGAATGCATATATACTTGCATATATAGAACATATAGAATGTATATGTTTGCATATATAGAACATATAGAATGTATATGTTTGCATATATAGAACATATAGAATGTATATGTATCAATGCATATATATATGCATATATCTGTTCGATTTTCAAAATATTTATGGTTGAAGTACTCGTCGCATTTATTAAGATTTTTTATCTATGAGTGAGGAACTATTCAGATCTTACATTATTGAAATTCAATAGAACCAACAATTAACAAACCCACAGAAAACCAATTCAAATGATCAATTTCACCCACTTGCTCATACCCAGATCAAGATCAAGATCAACTCAATTATCACCCAATTCATATTTCCCGTTTCCTTTTTTGGATTCCATCCCCATTTATCCTCTAAACATCCACAAAATTAATAAAAGAATTAACGAAATGGTGAGATCGAATTGAGCTCGACATTTTACCCCTAAAAGCAGAGAAGAAACATGAACACACAATCAAATCAGATAAGAACAAATTAGATCCTACATTCACAATCCACATATCAAACAAATCCCATATAAAAATTGGAACCAGTTAATCAATTTCATTCAAGTTTCTACTCAATCCCAGATCAAAATCAAGCTACCAAACAACTTCAATCAACCAATAATTACTGAATACATACCGAAAGATCTTGAGAAATGTTGGAGATCTCTTCTTTAGCCTTCTTCGAAACCCAAAAGCTACCAGCCTTGATGCTCCCAACTTTAATCAATGCTTTCTCCATTCTTCTTTCACTCTATCTCCTCAATCGGATAACGAACAACACTCAAATCTGTGAAGAGAAAAAGTAGAGAGAGAAACCTCTCTCACTCGAAATCCACTCTCCTCGCCGCTGAATTCTTCCATTTCCAGAACTTATCACTACATTAGGCTAGCAAAGCTAAAACTATTTTTTCAAATATGTACAACATACATTGCATAGTTTACAAGTTGTTAGAGCAAGACGTCCCTGGATTTAGTAATAAGTGCTCTGCTAAAAGGAATCACCGCCTCGGCTTCCCTCTCACTCCACTTTCCAGGCTAACTTTTCATAATGCTCCATAAGCTTTTGATTTATATCACTTTTGGTCCCTTGACTTTATAAAATGACAAATCATTTTTTATTTTTTTGGGTTCCAATTTCCATTCTAAAAGCTATGACGAAAACAGAAAGACTTGTAATCTACTCTTGAAAACGTAGAGATTATTGTGTACCCGTTCACTGGATTATTACAAAAAAAAAAAAAAAAATTTGAGGGGTGTTCTTAAATACTTTGAAATCAATTACATAACAAATTGCATTAAAAGTAACGAACTTTAACTTGATTCATATTTTGGTTAATGTACTTTTAAAACTTTCATTTTTGTACATAAGATGTAAAATTTTAAACATTGAAGTACCCAGGTAACCGGTTAAAACATTAACCGGATACCAGGCTGATGTGGTATCCAACTCAGTATTATTTGCTATTCAATCCAATTTCATCTCATCATTCATCACATTAACATGATAACCGGTTAATGTTTCAATCAATTACTAATATTAGTTGGAATAAAATGAAAAATAAACCCATAAAACTGAACACCAAGGTTGCAGCCCCTTCAAGTTACATCCTACCAACAAAATTGACCCTTCACCCATTTTGTGAGGTCACCAAACCATTAACACGATTACATGTAATTTATACCACAAAATAAAGGGAAATTGATCGATCGTGCCGGTCAGCCGGTCAGGGGTGTTTGATAAGAGACATTAACCAGTAATCAATATAAATGAAAATAAAAGAAATTGTTTGGTTTTTTATAACACAACAAGTACATTCTTTTAGAAGGCTAAAATTTTATTTCTGGTTAAACCAAGAAAAATACATCTGTATATTGGGACACTACATTTGTATCATTTTTTATTTAAAAATTAATTTTTATAGGATAAAAACATCTTAAAATTTGTAATCGACATTAAAAATACCACATTTTTATTAAATATGGTATTTGTTTTTATAATATTACATTGTCAAACAATATACAATACAACAAATAATAAAATGGAGTCTACATTTTTCAAAATTAAATTATAACGGTATTTATTAAAAAGGAAAAAGTGTAAAAAAAACCAAGAACTTTAATGTTTGAAATGATTTAGTTTTTAGACATTTTAAAACACGTTAAATAACTCACAGAACTTTTTAAAACCTGTTAGATATATTCTTATAACCTATACAACTGATTAATGTGATAAAATAATGAAAAGAGTCTGAAAAAAACAATAGACTTTCATAGTTTGAATAAGTCCCTAAACATTTTTTTAACAAAAAAATACTTACATATATAAGATAAAACAAATATACCAAAAAAGTACTTACATTTAAAAAAAGATTATTGATGAAATTTATTTTAATTAAAAATAAAATATATTACTTGACGATTTTTCAAATTAAAAAGAAGAGAAAATAATTTGATTAAATTGCTGACGGATTAACGATAAAATTTAACTAGATACACAATTAATTAAAATTCGTCCGTAATCCGTCGGTGAAATGATACGACCGACAAGATTCAAGCACGATCTTTTACACTTATTAACATTTACTGTGTTAGAGCACATATCCGTGATCAAGTTAGTCATCAATTAAATATAAGTAATTCATACATATATACCAATAAACATTGTGACGAATTTTAATTAATTATGTATTTGGTTAATTTTTTTTGTTTACATCAGTAATTTAATCAAATTATTTTCTATTTTTTTTAATTTGAAAAATCACCAACGTAATATATTTTATTTTTAATTAAAATAAATTTAATAAGTAATCCATTTTAAAATTTTTTAATACTTTTTTGAATTTGAAAAGTTATATACGAAATATATTTTATTTTTAATTAAATAAAGTTTATTAATATTTTTTTAGATTATAAATATTTTTTTATAAAATGCAAGTATTTTTTTGTATATTTGTTTCATTTTATAGATGTAAGTGTTTTTTTTTGTTCAATTTTTTTTAAGAACTTGATAGTTCAAAATATAAAGTCCGTTGGCTTTTTTATCAGACTTTTTTTTCATTATTTTTACCACATTAACCAGTTTTGTAGGTTATAAGAATGTATCTAACATATTTTAGAAAATCCAATAAGTTATTTAATAAGTTTTGGAACGTCCAATGACTTGTTTGTTCCAAAAAAGTGTCCAAAAACTTAATCATTCCAAATACTAAAGTCTAGATTTTTTTTAGACTTTTCTCTTAAAATAATTAAATAAATTTAACTAAAAATAATAATATATATGCTCAAACATTCCATTCTTGAAAGTTATAATTAAGAAAATATCATTTTGGTATCTTCATATAAGTTCAATATCTTTATTTCTACTTCCTGTTTGCTAACACTTTTGCAAAAGAAGAGGGTTTTCATAGAAACAACCATTTTCCACTGAGATAGATCTGTATACGCTTCAATTTGTCAGTCTTTTTTCGGTTGGGATTTACTGGATCTGTTTGGTTTGGTTTTTACTCTTGCACATGATCCATCCAACTACTTCCAGGAACCTTAACCATTCTACTGAGGTCAGATCTGTGTTCACTTCATCCCTGCAAGTCCCTTCTTTCAGTTGGGACTTATTGGATCCGTTTGGTTTGGTTTTTAAACTCTTGCACATGATCCATCCAACTGCTTCCGGGAACCTTAACCAAACCCTTTTCACGTACGCACGTTCTCAACCTCTTAGCATCGTCCCACCGCCCAACGCTTGCGTAAATATTAGCAAGAAGCGAGCCATAGCCGATGCTATCGGCTTCCAATTGAAAGCAATGTCTGGCGGCAATTTCCCCCAACTCGACATTATTATGCGTACTACACGCAAGAAGCAATGCACCCCAAACCCCAGCATGTGGTTCCATTGGCATGCTCTTTATCAAGTCGTGTGCTTCCTCTAGCTGCCCTGCTCGGCCTAGAATTTCCACCATGAGACTATAATGGTCGGGTGTGGCCACGAGTCCGTACCTTTTCATGGAGTTGAAGCAACGGTAACTTTCTTCCACCATACCAACGTGACTTAATGCCGTTAAAATCCCGGAAAACGTGACTAAATTTGGGATGATTTTTGATTCAAGCATTTCATCAAACAGTTTGATGGCAATTTGTTCCTTCCCGTTGATGCCACAACCCAAAATCATGGCGGTATAAGCGACCACGTCTTTCTTGTGCAACTCATGAAACAGCTTGAAAGCTTTATCAATGGAACCACATTTTGCATATAGGTCGATTAAGGCGGTACGTAAGTGATCGTCCATAGGAATTCCCGTTTGTTTCATGTATGAGTCCTCGATCCATGAGCCAAAACCCAAGTCTCCCAATTGGGAACATGCGGATATGACAGTAGCTAACGTCATTTTATCGGGTTGAATGTTTACGTTTGGTTGAAGCATTTCATCAAACAGTTGGAGTGCTTCTTTCGGTCGACTATTTTTACCATAACAAGCGATCATAGCATTATACAACAAATGATCTTTCTTACCCATCTCACGAAATAATCCACATGCAGATTCGACATCTCCACACTTTGAGTACCCACCAATCATCGTGATACAAGAAATCGTGTTTCTTTCGGGCATCGAATTGTAAAAGTTTCGCGCTGAATCTATCTTCCCACACTCCACATAACCACTGATCATAGCGTTCCATGAAGTCGGATTTCTCTCCGGCATTTCTTGAAATAAACGTAACGCATTCTCCATATCCCCGATTCTTGAATACCCGGAAACCATAGAATTCCAAGAGACAACATCCTTGTCCGGCATGCCGGAAAAAAACCCTTCCGCCTTTGATAACTTCCCTGACCTTAAATACCCATCTATCATCGAGTTCCAAGACACTACATTTCTTTCAGACATTTCATCGAACACCTTCTTTGCAGTCTCCATATCACCAAGTTTCGTATAGAACCCAACCAAAGCAGTCTCCACATAAACATCCCCACAAAACCCATAACTATGAACTTGACAATGAACCATGATCCCACCATTTTCATCACCAAGCCTCCCACATGCTTTCAAAGCAGATGCAACAGTAAATGTGGAAGGTAAGAATCCTGATTTTTGAAGCTGCACATACTGATTAAAGGCTTCTTGAAACCCACCATTATTGCAGAAATACCGAATAGCCAATGTTGTTGAAAACACATCTGGTTGTTTTGAATTGCAAAGAATTAACTGAAGATAATGAGCAATACTTTGAGAGTAATTAGATCGAGAGTTTATAAGATGGCGAATTACCATTCCTTCGAGATGATTAACGCCATGGATAAGCATCAATCCATGAAGTTGCTTCAATTGTTTGGCCGTCAGACACCGATTCAACAAGCTGGTTATTCTTGGAACCAACATCCTTCATTACCATTTCCTTTAATTATCTCCATTTGTGGGTTCCATCCCAATTTATCCTCTCAACACCCACGATATCAAACGAAGAATTAAAGAAATGGTGTGATCAAATTGAACTTCACATTAGAACTAAACATAAAATATCTGGTTTCTAATTGGTTTGAGTTTGGCATCAAAGGTCAAAGGTACCAGGAGGTCTCATGTTCAAATATAAGGAGGAATAAAAACCCCTTTGTGATTATAGAGGTTCAAATGCAGTGAATTCAGGCTATCTGCAAAACAAGTGGTCGTCCTGGGATTAGTCGATTTGCATAGCGGGTTGGATATAGACAAATTAAAATGTTACGGTCTTGTAATACATCACCTTTGTTACCAAAACTTGAGGACGTTTCAGAAAAGAATGTTGGAAAGTTAGAGCTACAAAAAGGCAATGTGAGTTGGATGGGTAAATAGTTAGGTGATGAGGTGAGTTGTAAAACCTGGCTATTTAATAATTATAATTATAATCACCATATCCTTTAATAAAGTGATGAAGTTTGACTATTTAAAGTCAATCTTCTAGTGTTATACAAATGCAGAGATGCTGTCAATTATACATTGATACAGATGCTATCATAAATTCATAATGGGTTTAGTTAATCTAATAGCATTGAATAACTCAAAGAACCCACATCAATTTTGAACTTAGAAAAAGCAATTTAGGGAAGAAAACTATACAGAGTATAAATTCATTACTCTTTAGGGGGTGTTACAGAGTATAAAGTTATGCAGAAAGTAGCTAAGACAGATATACAATGTGTGTTACTGTTTGACGAGAAAGAAAAGACTGACCTCGATTACCAATACCGGTGGCTGCAACTCGATGAAGAAACGGCTAGGGTTTTGTCGATTACTCCTCGATGAAGAAGACGACTATAATTAATTATTGTTGTGGGTCTTGTGTGGATGTGATGCTAGTCGACGGCAACAACAGTCACGGCGAGTCGGCGACGAGGGTATGCGTACCTGGATGGTCAACCGGTCAAGGGAAGGGAGGCCTGGAACTCGAACGGTGGAACTGTGGAAGTACCTGGAATGGACAATGGAGATTGGAGGGTATGGAGTATGGGCTGGATTGCTGAAACCTGGATGGAATATTGGAATGGAATGGACTATGGAGTATGTCTGTATCTTAGTCCAGGAAACAAAAGCCCACTCCCCATAGCCAAAGCCCAAATGTGAAAATTAAAATAGCCTAAGTCAATATTACCGGGTATGGGGCGGGTCGGGGGATACAATACCCGGCCCCGGCCCCAACCCGGTTTGCCTCTACCGGGGATCCCCGGCCCCGGTACCTGTTTTAGCGGGGAATTCCTGTCCGGATCGGGCCAAATCACCATCCCTAGATATACAGGTTAATAAAAAAAATAGCTATCTTTTTTTTAATTTCTTTATTACTTTGAAGTTATATTTTTTTTTTGGAAAAAGTACATCAAAATTAAATCAACTTTCAGTTAATTTTTATTTTGAAGAACCAACTTTTAAAAATATCATTTTAGGGTCTGGAGCAAACTTTTTGTATATTTAAGGGTCTAGAGCAAAATTTTTGCATATTTAAGGGTTTCGTTTACCTAATGACATGTTAATAATGACAAGAAACATGTAAACATCTACTAGGAGTTCACATCATATTTAAAATAGGTGACTAAGACCAAATAGAAGTAACGATAATCTTTAAAGATTTAAGTTCTCAAAACGAGAAATGAACCCATACAGATATAGGTTTCTAATGCAAGTTTCTTCTTTGGATCTGTGTTCAAGATCTGAAAATGGGGATGTATTTGAACACAATCTGTGTTTGAGATGTGCTATTCTTGCTGCCAAACAAAGCTTTTGAAGAGATAACTGGCGGCGAGAGGTGGAGAAGGAAGCCATGGCACAACCGGTGGCAACGAAGTGACCATTTTCCTCATCGTTGTTTTTTTTTAAGTATATTATAATATTTATACACGGCAAATGCAACAAATAAACTCACATACATTCTTCATCTTTGGTGAGGTTTGAACCTCTAACCTCATCGTTGTTGCCATGACGGTTTTGTACAAATGTGTGTTTGAGATTTGAAAATCATAGAGTATCATCTAACCTTCTTTATATCTGAATCACCCCTGCAAGGCTGCAACATACTATCACCATCACCGCCTCTTGATATTGATCTGTCATCGTCATTGTTGTTCTTTAAGCCAACCTTTTGTTTGAGTTTTGATTTTTTATAACGATGTCGATGTGAGCGTCCTTGTAGATAGTACTGACTTGTTGAATGCAGGTCTTAGACGCACCGACGTCAACCTTTGTTTCAAACTAATGCTCTTCGTCCTACAAAGTTTTCCGATTGATTGTTTTGGTTGCTAAATGGATCGAACCGAACATCAATAGATAATTTTAGAAAACATTTATAAATCATCTATAATCTTTGGAAATCTCATATTACAATTCATCCATTTCCAAAGGAAAAAAAATGACAAAAAATAAATTTAAAACAATTTAATTTTCGATTTACAATTTACATTTTGCTGCATTATATAAATACACTTCTATTAGACAAAAAATAGGTACGGGGAGAACGATTGTCATGTAAGAGAGTGAGGGTTTCGTTAAAACGGACTAAGTCACTGGAGGAACTAGAGATGGCCAAATGGGCCCGGCCCGGCCTGGGACCGCCGGAGGACCGGGACCGGGACCGACAAAGGACCGGCCCGGGACCGGTTGAGATTTTTGGTAGTTTCGTGGGACCGGGACCGGGACCGGTTATGGGACCGACTATGGACCGGCCCGGCCCGGCCCGAAAATTCAATTAATTTTATAAATAAATGTATTTTTAAATAATTTTATAATGTATTTTTATAAGAAAACGTAATTTTAATTATATTAAAACGCATTTTTAAAGTGTATTTGAGTGACCCAATT